GGCCAGGGAAAAAAAAGGAAGGGAGGAGGCAATGGGAGGGGCGGAGAGGGATGGAGGGAGACAAGTGATGTAGAGGCGGAAAGCTTACACCCGGCATCCCACCCCACATGACAACCGCCGCAGTCCACCCCGCGTGCGCGAGGTGCTCTTCCACAACTGGGAGGGGGAGTACAACGCCATTGGCGGCGTGCGACAGTTAGACGAGGCCATGATCGACAAGTGCTTCACGGGCGTCCTGGCGCCGTGTCGTGGCAAGACACGTTTGCCGTAGTCGGTCTGCTGCAGTTCATTAGAGGGGCAAGAAGTGAGGCGGTCGTAAAGAAGTTAGTGTGTGTTAGCCAAGGCATAGTCTGCGGTGTGTGAGTGGACTGGATAACTAATCACCTGACGCCGTTGTTTGGTTCGACGTCATGACCCAACGCCATTGTTCTCACGCGGCGTGGCGTCGCGGCGCCGTTCCTGCCCTCAGTTCCTTTGTCCGACCCCACGCCCCGCCCCCCCGTCCCTCCTGCACACCAGCTATGCATTTTGATTCCTGCTTCACGGATCACGGATTGCGAATTGCGATGGCACGTTTACTTGTCCGACTTGGAGAGCTCGGCGACCTTCTTCTCCTGGGCCTCGACGTCGGCCTGGGCCTTCTTGGCCTTCTCACGGAGCGACTTGAGCTGCTCCTCCTCGCGGCGGCGGATGTACTGGTTCTCCTGAGCCTCCTCACGCTGGCTGGGAGGTTAGCGGAGGTTTATGGGTATTGGGAGTGTGGTCGGTGGGAGGAGAGTTGCGAAAGAGGAGCTCTCGCTTGGATTCGTCGGAGCGCCGAGGCTAGGACAAGACACACCCTGCCGAGCCCCTGCGCATCACCGCAACCCTGTGGCGCATCGCCGAGGGGTTGTTCGGGCGGCATTCCACGCTGATCATTCGGCGGGGCGTCGAGGTGTATCCAGGCCGAGCGGCGGCCGTGAGCCGTTCCGGCCGCAAGTGTGCCCAAGGCGACACGTTCGCTGATCCCCCTTTCCATCTACGCCCACTTTCCCCGATCCGAACATCCTCGTCTCTCTCCAGAGTCCGAACTCACCGGAAGCCAGTCGACGAGGCGGTGGCACCCTCGCTGCGGACAGGGGCGGTGTAGAAGCGGACCATGGGCTGATGGGGCGAAGAGGAGAGGGAGGATCGTCGGTTATGGGTGGAGAGGAAGGACAGGAGGAGAATGTATCACGGGATGTGTAGGGAGGAGAGATTCGAGTTGCAAGAGTGAGCGGCGAAATGAGCGAGATTGACGGCGATTAGTGAGCGGAGTTGACGAGGAAGTAAGGCGTCAGTACTAGACCGAGGGAGTACAGAGCTCGAGTGCCATGGCACCGGCCTCGACGCCGATGCCAGTGCGCCCAACAGAAACAGAACTCACGGCAGCACGGAGGGCCGAGGTGCGGTTGAGGGCGATGCGGGCGATCATTGTGGAGCGGAGATGGAGAGGTGTTGATGAAGAGAGATGTGGTGGAGAGACGAGACGACGAGGGGTGTGGGAGAGAGCCAGACACAGCGGCGGTGACGAAAGATGCCGGCGCTGGCAGTGTGGCACTCGGCCCACGCCTCCACCGGAGCGAATCGGAGCCGGGCACTGACGTCAGGCATGTGCGGGAGTATACTCCTAATCGATGGCATTAGAGTACATATTACAACTGCAACGACAGCTCATCCATCCACGCTCTGCATGGTGAACGGGGACGCGACGGGCCCGTCGAGGATGTCTAACTCGGCGGGCGTGAACCCCATACGGGGGATGACAAAGTATCTGACAGGCACGAGGAGCATGATGATGATGGGGAAGCCGATGGCCGCGATGGTCTGCGTGATCGCGAACGTCGCGCCAAAGCCGATCAGCTCGACGAGGACGAACAGCGCGATGCGGGAGGTGCGGACGCGCTCGAGCGGATCAGAGGGCGCACGCGCGCGCTTTTCACGTACGAGATACAGCATTTTCGAGGTTACGCCGGAGGAGAGAAGCGCATCCGTGCCCATGTACCAGAAGAGGCCGGCGAGCACGCCCTTCGGGATCAGGCCGAGGACGTGCTCGAACGGCTTCGTCATGAGGACGAGGCAGAGGGCGCCTTGCGCGAGGTTGGACACGCGCTGCTCTACTACGGCCACGGGGACTTCGCGGCGCGTAGCGCGCTCGGCTGCCAGCAAGCGCTGGCGCGCGCGCGCATCGCGCAAGCTCGTGGAGACTTGTGAGACGCGGCGCGCAAGGCTCGAGCCCGAGGCCGCGCGCGGGCGGCGCTTCAGCCCCGCTTCGGCTTCCGCCATTGCTGTGGATGTGGAGCGGGGTCGCTTCTCCCCCTCCCCTCTCGCCTCGCCCACGCCCTCGTCCTCTGCCTCCAGCTCGTCGAGGCTCTCGGTGAGTGGCACCTCGTCATCTTCGTACCCCATCACAACGAGGGACGCGGTGTGCAGCGGTGCCTGGGGGATGAGGCCGTTGGGCGCCGGTACGCCGAGCAGCCCCGCGATGAAGGTGGTGATGCCAAGCAGGAAAAAGTCCCAGTGAAAAGCGGCTGGCTTTCGTAGTGGGAACTCTGATCCCTGCGCAATGAGCGCTGACACGTTGGCGTCAAAGTAGAAGAGCACGAAGAGGATCACGCCGAAGGGAAAGGCCATGCCGACGTACTTGCCCGGGAGGAGCCAGAACTCGACGAGCCATGCACGGCCCGCGGCGGGTCGGAAGCTGTGCAGCACAACGGGGAGCGTCATGTCCTCCTCGTGCACGAAGGGGTTGAAGCGGCCCCAGTAGGCCATGCCGGTCGCCGCGACGATGGTGAGCGGCATGCCGTAGTCTGCGCAGAAGCGGCGGAACTGCTTGCTGATGTATCCCGAGCGGGCGAGGGCGTTGAAGTAGTGCGGGAGGACGAGGGTGATGAGCGCCAACAAGATGCCGAGGAACGCGCTCGGCGTAGACGTCTGTCCGAACTGCCGCGTAACGACCTGGATCCCGTACTGCACGTACACGGCCGCGACGTAGAATCCGAATGTGTCGCAGCTGAAACGCGTCACGTACTTGAGGCCCTTGACGGCGTTGAGCGCGGCCGCGATCCAGTGCAGGATAGCGCCCCAGAGGTATACCCATCCCATGAAGTGGAGGTAGTTCCAGTCGTCGCGGCCGCGGAAGATGTCGAAGATGGTCTTGTTGAAGACGGTAATGGGACCAGTGACGCCAGAGATGAGAAGTGGCTGCCCGCCGAAGACAGCGGCAACAAAGGCCGCCATGAAACTCGCTAGCAGGACTTCCTGTACGCCATACAATCCGGTCTCCTCGATCAGGTCGAGCGAGAATGCCAGACCGGGGAGGACGTTCGCGAAGAAGATGAACCATGTGCTCGGAATAACGCGGTAGTTCCACGCGTCGGTCCAATCTGAGACGTAATATGGAGCGCGCGCCTTGATGTCTTGCCACATGCCGCTGAACGGCATCCAGCCTCTCCCTCTTCGCCCCGGTTCGGCGGGCGGCGCGGAGGCAGCATCCGCAGCGTCATATAGCCGACTTGTGGTGGGGTGAAGGAGAGTGAGTGGTAGTTCTGGAGGGTTGGGGGGCTGCTCGACGCGCGGTGGTGGAGAGTAGGGAGGGGAGGAGCGGACGTGGGTAGGGGAGGTGGATGGTCTGCCTGAGCGAGCGCGGGACACCGGCGAGTGTGGTTGTGATGAGGATGTGGGGGAGATATGTCCTTCCATATTGGACCCCATGACAATGGCAAGGGGAGGAGCGTTGAGGTGAGTGATGAAGAGTAAAGATAAATGATGCTGAGGTTGGTGGTGGTGCCGATGCTGGCTGACATGAGGAGCCATGATTTTTGGGTAGGTGACACGGGTGAGTGATTTCCCAGGCTGATTGCGGGGTTCGGGGTAGCTGCGGGGCTAGATCGGGTCGCACTCTCCAGATGTGAATCATGTTCGGGGGTCATTCCCAGCACTTCGGCGTAACAAGACCAAGAGGGGTACAGTCGCAGAGTTACGGTCGAGCTCAGGTGAGCTCCCATGCGGTAACATTGTCGTAGTAGCTGCCGGGCCGTAAATCCATCATATCACACACACACAACTATTGAAACCCAACATAACACTACCTCCGTGCCAACCACGGCTTTGCTGCCTTGAGCGCCAGCACACCCACGCCCACGGCTCCCACGAGACCGCCGACACCCGCAGCGTTCGCGACCACCTTCTTCTGCCACGCCTCACGCCTCGCCGCCTCCGCATACGGGATGTCTGGTCGGAACGTGACCATATCGTACAGCGCGGTCCAGCCGTGCACTTCCGGCGTGGGGAACGCGATGCCCGGCGTGAGCTCGCGCGGCGTCGACGGGTAGATGCGCGTAAGAACGTAGTCGACCGCGCGCCGCAGGTGGTACAACGGATTCAGCACGGACGAGCGCATCTCCGTGTAATTCGCCAGCGCGAGGTCGCAGATTGCCGCGAGATCCTCTGCGCGCTCAGTTGAGTAGGCGGTCAGCGCGGCTTCCAGCTCTGGGTCGTGCGCGCCGGCCGGGAGAGTGGTTTTGGGCGAGATCGAGAAGCGGTCGAGGTAGGTGCCAAGTACGCGGACGTCTTCGAGGCCACAGTTCAGGCCCTGGCCGTAGAATCTGGGGTTAGAGCCGAGAGTGAAGGAAAAGCGAGCAGACTCACGGGACCATCGAGTGACATGCGTCCCCCAGCAACACTGAGTGGCTAGAGTACGTGCTTGGTGTGACGTTGATCGTCACGAGATTGCCGCGCGGGTGCTCCATGAACTCGTCCACGAGCTTTTCGCCGACAATGTCCCAGGCGTCGGGGAAGTGCTTTTGGAAAAAGGCGCGAGCCTCATCCGGCGTGGAGAGGGCGTGCAGCTCGTCGAAGGGGATGAAGAGGGTGAGGGTGAAGGAGCCGTCCTGGGGTTAGTCTGCAGACCACGGGGGAGAACCGAAGCTGTCGGAGGGGTTTACAGGGAGGAAGAGCCGAAAATAGGCAGTCCGCAACGGCTGTTCGCCGTTACCAACGCCCCATGCCCTCCGCTGACAATGTGCGGATCTTGACATGACGCAGATCACCACACCGCGCCCCTTGGGCCCCCGCCATCGCCCGACAGCTTGGCCCTCCGCTTTACCCTCGCCCCTCCCCGACTCATCACCCACCTTGTTGGGCAAAGCAATCAGCATAAATTTGTGTCGCGGCCAGATGTGCAGGTGATTGGGTGGCATTGCGAAGCCGCCAGGCTTGCTTGGATCCGCATCCATGTGCAGCTCGATGTATGCGTGCGGGATGAAGCTCTGGGAGAAGTCGATGCTGATGTGAGCGGCGAGAGAAAGGGGGGGGGTGAGAGGAGAGGAGAGGATGAGGGAAGGTGGGAGGTGGTCGTGTGACCACCTCAGCCGACAGCAGACGGTTCAACTTCATCAGCCTGCACACGGCTTCTGCGCTCGTGGTGGCGCAGCTTGTGTCGAAGGTGCACCTGATGCTCCACATCTCGTATGACACTTACCGCTCCGCGCGCATCATCTCCTGCCGGACCTTGCTCCAGCTCCCATCAGCACCGACAATGAGGTCGAACTCGGCATCAACCTTTTCCGCCTTGGCAAGGACCGGGATCTGCGGCGTCTCCGGCGGCGAATCGAGGAGGGCGGGTTCTCCGCGCTTCGTGCGCACGCCGTGGGCCGTACGCGCCCCGAACTCGACTCTAGCAAGCTTGGTGTTGAAGCGCACGACGACGCCGCCGTCGCCGGCTGGTAGGGCCTCGGTCATGCGCTGGTTCAGCAGGCCGCGGTGGATCGAGTTGCTGCAGTTGCCGCGCAGCGGGTCGTACAGCTGCGCCTCGGTGTGTCCGTCGAGGTGGTGGATGAGGCGGCTGGGCATGGGGATCGACTCGGCGAGCAGCGCGTCCGCGAACGCCGGGTCGACGGAGGCGACGGCCGCGTAGCCCCGTGACGAGATGTTCAGGTTGATACTCCGGAGGTTGTTGACGGCGATTTCGCGCCCGCGGGGATCTGGTGTCAGCGAGCGGCGGACAGAGAAACGGGCGGACGGGGCGACTGGCGGACGGGTCGGAGAAGGCATCCCGACCGGCCTACTCACCGTCACGCGTGTCCCATACCTCGACAGCCCAGCCGCGCTTGTGGAGGCTGAGGGCGGTGAGGGAGCCGACGGGCCCAGCGCCGATGACAAGGGCGCGGCGTTGCCTCTCCTTGCCGTGGAGCATGATGAGTGGGTGATGAGAGGATCGGGAAAGGCAGGAAGGGCGGGCGACATTTGTTATCTTTGGAATGTCTGGGTACAATCACGAGCGCGAGGTTTCGGAGCGGAATCAAACACCCCGCAGTCATTCCGCCCGCGTATTCTCGTGCCGGCCTGAGTCGGACTCGTTTGCCCATGCCCCATAGGCATTCCGCGGAAGCGCGGCAGGAGGGAGGGGGGGGAGCGAGGCGAGGCAGAGGTTGGAGAATTGGAGGGAATATGACGAGTGAGGCTTGCTTACTCTATCATCTGCGAGCGGGGACAAGGTCGCCGCGGACGCGACGAGAGCCGAGGTATATGTTCCAGAAGGATGAGGCCGTGCGAGTGCGCCGTCACGCTTCGAGAAGACATGGGCTTCTTTCACGAGCTTGTTCGCCGCTCGATCATCTGGCTGGGCGGGCGGATCACCCTCGCTTGTCTCTAATTGTGAACATTTCACATCTTGACGAGGATGTCGCCGTCACGCCTCTAAGCCAGCGAAATCGACAATGGAGTTGAGGAAGCCGGTGGGCTCATGGTAGGTGAGGAAGATGGCGACAAAGCAATGTGATGATGGCAAACGAGGTGGAAATGGGTAACGATGAGAGCCGGTTATCCCATGATCGCGAGCTTGTCGTGCACGCAGTGGTCGCCGTGATCGCCGGGGTCGGAGTCGGCGATCCGGGGTTGCCGCGGCCCAAGACTCCATGCTCCAGCCTCCACTATACTGCCCCACTCGCAGTTTCAGAAACAGGCACGGGAACAATTTGCCACCCAACAGAGTTACTTTGCACCAATTCACACATGCTCTCGATCTCTCCATCTTCCAACAACAACATCCACCATGTCTACAACTTCACAAAAGTATGTCGAGCATCCATCCAGTCCAGATTGACAGGCTCTTTGTGTGCATCTCAATCTATGCCGGAATACTGCCCGCCAAGGAACCTGACACGTTGCGCGTGCGAGTGATCCTTCATGCACGCGCTCCACTGTCGCATCATTGTGCTGACCTTAGGCCATGGCCGCCCTCCGCTATAGATGCGGCCTCGCACGGCGCGATCGCATTTACTACCATCTACTACGAGGCGTACGATGAGCCCACGCGGCGAAGTGTTGTAAGTGTCCGCGACGTTGATCTGTTGTGTGGTCCAAGATCCTGCGCGCATTCAATGGAGAATTGGAGAACGAATAGCGCTGGCTACAATTGCTGTTGCTTTGCACCCGCCACGCGCGCACTAACACAGCTTGCTCGTTGTATCTCTGCTGCTCTGTTTGAGCAGCCCCTCATCATCACCATCTTCTCATCCCCCCGCCGCCTCCATCCCCTTGCCTGCTCGACTTTACTCCTCGCGCCCCAGCTTGTGCTCGCGCCGGACTCCAGCTCACCCCAGGAAATTCCCCAGTTCTACCTCCCCTCCGCCAAAGTCATCTGGAACGGCAATACAGTCGCCGCTGATCCCGCCTCCATGGCCGCCTTTCTTGACGCCATGCCGCTCAGTCGACACAACCCGCAGACACTCGATTGCCACCCGCTCAAGCGTAAGTGTTTTCCTCACCGCTACAGCCCCGCTCTGGCTCGTGGCTGATTTCAGCCCTTCCATCCGCAACGGCGACCGCGCCCGAACTTCTCATCACTATCACGGGCAGCGTGCTTCACGGACCAACCGTGATGCAGTATGGCGACCACGCGCCGACGCAGCCGAGCGAGTATCCGCGAAAGTATCGCGAGGTGTTTGTGCTCCGGGCGATTGAGAGCGCAGAAGGCATGCAGCCCAAGGTGCGTTGGGTCAAGGCCGTTGATGGGTGGGGGTGCGAGTAAGCTGACTGTAGTACGCGATCCAGAGCGCCAACTTCCGGTTTATCGGGTAAACAATCATCTACTGTATCAATTATTGTATGCATGTGCTCTTGCACAGAGTCGCCAACGACGAGCTAGGAGCAACGAGCTGCAGAGCACTGATCATGGCGACTGATGTGACAGCATGACAGGCGTTGATGAGCGTGCGAGTGAACGTGTGCGATCCACGGCGAGGATTGCGAGGATCGCGAGGGTGCAAGGATGGAGGGACCAGCAATCAGCACATGGAGCACACAGCACTACATATACATATACCTTCCTCCTCATCCTTTCTCACTCATCCTCCTCTTTTCTTCACATTACTCTACTTTTCACTCGTCGACCCTCTTCGTCACTGTTCAATCCCCTCTGCCCACTCGGTCATCCCCCTCCCTCTTTTCCGCTCCTCCCGCGGTCCACCTGCTCACGATGGGTCGCGGCGTCTTCTACGGAAGTTACATTTACGTCTTCGCCGACAGTTTTCCCCTGTCACTTGCCCAGAGAGCCCATGACTGCATACGCGTGAGCTCTCTTTACCTTCCTTCGTCGTCGTCCCGAGATGACACAAAAATGACTGACTCTAGACAAATGGCGGCACACTTGTCACCAACCCCACCCAAGGTTCTCTCACTCATGTCGTCGTCCACGTCTCCTCGAAAGAGCCCTACGGCAAGAATGTCTCAATACCCGTCGCCAACCTCTCCCTCCCCGTTCAAAGAAGCCAGTGGACCCTCGACCACATGATCTCTGCCTTCGCTTTGGAAAATGGCTCTGCTCGACGTGACCACCGTGGACAGTTTCGCGATGTTGTCGTTGTCCAGGAACAGTGGATCTTTGACAGCGTCAATGCCGGACATATCCTTGACTCAAGAGATAATTATGGTGGATGGCGAATCCGGTGCGTTTTCCCAGGTGGCCTGGCCTCGTGGCCCTTCCTTCTTCTGAGTTACTAACACCAGTGGCATCCTCGAGCGCGATCCTCGCAAGCGCCGTCAATCACAACTCTCCTCCACTAGCCCCCCACGTCCCACATGGTCCACAAACCCCCGTAGCGATCGTGGACCAGGGGGTAATCATAATGCGAAACGCAGCTGCGCGCAGTCCGATCGCCACTATTCACCCCCTCGATCTCGACCAAGAACCGAGGAACAACATGGGGGCAATTCTCGGGCCTCTGGAACCGCGGCGTCGTCGATTGCAACCGGCGATCAAACTGAGCCACCCCCCGTGACACTACGCCAGCGTCTCAATCGCGAACTGTTTACGAACAGCCCCACGGAGATCGGACCCCCTATGAACACCGGCGCTGGTCCTAATCCGGCGACCACAACTACTGGGACTCTCACTGTGGCGTCAACTGCAACCGCTACACAGCCTTCATCGCTTATTGGAGGTTCCTCGGGAGCGACTGCAAAAAATAGATGGGTTAGAGTGGCAAGCACGAATAAGACTGAGCTTCCCAACCCCAAGCCTGTAGTACAGCACTTGGTCCCGTCAACGACTCCTCGCCCTCCTGTTCAGCCCGCCGCCCATTCCTCGGGCGAGCAGCGCTCAGAATCGCCCCGTCCTTCCCTCACGCAAGCGCTTGCTCTTGACACAATGGCCGCATCTACCAATATCCCCGACCAGAACGGTGACAATTCGACCGCCCAGGCGGCTGAGGCTTGCCCAACGATGGCCCCCGGAATGTCACAGCTTCTGCAAGCCGTCGAAGAGGCTTCAAAGGCTTCACGGGGTCAACCTGTGCGGCTGGCTGAGGGGAACACTCTCCGCTCGGAGTCGATGTCTTCACTGTCTTCCGCTCCTGCTTCGTCACCGCTTGCGGGCAGCGTCGGTATGCACACCAAGCTACCTCTTCCGTGTGACGAGAGCAGGCCTGCGTGCCACGCTGTGCTGTCTTCCACCGCAACCGCTGCAACGGGTCAGGTGCCCTCATCTAATGGGACGTCTTCAAGGATGCTCAACCTTCCCTCGACATTGGCAACGCCCCCCGTGGCTCATCTAGCGCTGTCTCCAAGCCAAACATCTGCAGGCTCAGCTTCAGCAGCGTCGGCTACCGCCTCACCGTCTCGGGCTTGGAGCCCCGCCGAGTCGCGCAACCCGACTGGCGTGCTTGCAAGGCATCAGCCGCTCCCGCTAGACTTCTTCGTGGAGGACAATGACGATGGAGAAGGACAGGGTGTCAAGGATCTCATTACTGTGCGTGAACATGGTCGCTTCCTGCTGATATTAGGGCCAGGGCGGCGGCGTCCTCGCACCTGCTGAAACGGCACGTTTTGTCGTGCTGCTCCTTGAGAAAGGTCAGGCCCCAACAACGCAATGGCAGCGCGACATGGTAGCGAAGAAGGAAGCTCACCCGTGCTCACTGGTCATTTCCATGCAGTGGGTAATCGAATCGGTTGTGGTCAAGCGCAAGCTTCTCGACCCGATCCCCTTCCTCGTTCCTAAGCGCGGCGCACCAGCCTCGGCACCCTCCGCGATTGTCTGTTCGACCTCCGATAGCTCGATAGACTTGGCGCTGGGCCGTAAGCGTTCCCGAGTTGCTCCAGTAGGACCACTGATCGTGGATATTGAAAGCGAGTCCGAGGAGGAGGAGGGAGGGGCCAACGTCGTCATTCCAGATCCGACAGGGCGCGAACTGCACAACGTCACGCTCCTTATCTCCAGCTTCAAGAAGTGGGACGGTGTGGGCGGCAAATATGCGCACCTGCAGCAATGCGTGAGTCTTTCTTGCGACTTTAACTGAAACCAGGGGGTTCCGAATGCCCGAGACTTGTACACCCGTAACAGGAAGTACATTGATGCCCGCGTGCCGGGGCTTGCGGCGCGCTGTCGCCCCGGACGCCAAGGGCGCAAGAAGTAGTGAAAGGCGTTGGATGTAAGTGAAGCGTGAGTACAGCCTCTTTTGCGTGTTGCATGTATAGCATGGTCATTGGACAATCATGACCGAGCTCATCTCTGGCCACCAGTCATGTAAGCGTAGGCGGTACTGGCACTGACACATACGTTCTCACTGCACTCATTACTTGCTTACCACGAGCGATTCCACGCAATGGCAACTGCATCCACCCGGCTCGCACGGGTGGCTGACACTTTCGAGGAGATCTGTGGGCCCTCCCTGCCTCACCTCTACCAGCCACCGCGCACCTCCCCTTTTCCGACCAAGCGCCACCCCCACCGCTCCTCACCAAGCACCATGTCCTCCTCCGTGCCCCTTTCCTCAGCGTCGACCGTATCGATGCCGAAGAACGGCGCGATGGCGAGCCGGACCACGCCCTTGAACATATCGAGCAAGCGAGGGCGCAGAGCGTCGCCACTTTGCACGAAGTCAGGGCTGGCGTTGAACTCGAGCAACGACACCTCCGGCACGGCAAGTGTGTCGGGCGCAGCGTCAGCGGGGTGCGAGAGGAGGAGGTCGACGCCGAAGATCTCGAACGCATTTTCCATGAGCTGGAGGTTGAAGCTGCCGCATTCCGCGCCGGCCTTGACGGTCTCGGCGACGACGTCGCCGACCTTGGCGAACGTGGCTTCGAGCCATGCGTGGTCGACGACGCCTGCGGCCGCGTACCCGCCTTTTGTGCGGGTCAGGGCCGTGGCTGCTTCCAGGTCCCAGAAGAGGCGGACGAGGTCGTCCTCGCCCACGGGCTGCCCGAACGCGTCCGTCTGCAAACACGTGTTTGTCAGGTGCGGGCGCAGGTCCAGCTCGCCCTCGACGTTGCGTGGTGGCGTATAGGGCGAGCCGGAGAAGAGGGCGAGCATCGTGTGCGCCAGGTGCACGGTGTACGCGCCAGTGACGAGGACGTAGGCTCTAAGGTGAAACTGGGGTGAGCGAGCGAAGCGGGCGGAACGGTCGTGGGGTGTGGCAGCCCAGCAGGAACAGCGAACTCACCTTCTGGCCTAGCAACGCATCGTCGCTCCCCTCGTGCAGGTCGAAGAGGACTGGGCGTGGGACATATTCCTGCTGTTAGCTCAACCTGGTCCCAGCCCACCTGGATCACAAAGTGTCTCATGTGCGAGGTGAGGATGGCCGTGCCGCCCTCCTCCTCTTCCGCATCGAGGTCAATCTCTCCCGTGTGGCGGGCGAGCTCCTCCTCGTCCTCTTCATCTGATGATGGCGGCTCGAACTCCTCAAAAATAGCCCGCCTGGCGTCAGCTGCTCCTGTCCAGCGCCCGGGCCAACTCACAGCTCGTCCTCGGTGCTGAACATGCGTATCCCCTGCCCGCGCTCCGCGAACCCCGGCTTGAGGATGAACCACGCGCGCTCGTCCTCCTCCCTCCCCTCGTTCTCGCGCATGCCCGCGTCCAACTCATACAGGTCGTCCATGAGCATCTCGTCCAGCTCGTCCGCGAACTGGATATCGAGCACCCATCCCTTCGGCATGCCGCGCACGAGCGCGCTCTCCACGCCCCGGTGCTCGCATTTCGCCAAGTACTCCGCCACGGTGGTGTGCAGCTGGTGCTTGCGGATCAGGGCTTTGCGGTACACATACGACGAGATGAGGAAGCGCGCATCGTGCCGCGGCACGTCGAACGCGAGGAGGTCGTAATCAGCCCTGCCATCAGCGCGTCCGCGGACAGGCGCACCATTGCAGGCGCGGCGGCGCGGCCTCGTCCGGCGGAGACGAGGACAAGCTCAGCGCCGGGAGGACCGCGACGAGCGCACGCTCCAACAGGCTTTGGGTGTAGGGCGAGGGGAAGTTGACGAAGGCCGAGAGGCGCGCATTGTTCTCCACGACGGCCATGGCGTCGGATTGGGATCTCGTCAGCTGTCAGTCACAGGATCAGGCGGTGGTCACAACTTTGCGGATTGTGCGGGGCCCGGGATCAAATTTCGCTGTTTTTGCCACCCAAATCCAAGATTTCGCTGTCGGACATTGCACTCCATCCGCATCCACCATGCCCCGCCTTACGAAAGCGCAGAAGGAGGCGCGCAGCGCGTCCGGCAAGCCCGTCAAGAAGGCCGGCAAGCCCGGCACGGCCAAGTCTTCCGGCGGCGGGTTCAAGGTCGGCCCGGCGCATGCGCCGCGCAACGCCTACCTCGGCAAAGGTTTGTGCGTGTGAGGGCGCGCTAACGCCAGCCCAGAAGAAGAAGGCCGAGCTCATCGCCGCTGCCAAGGTCAAGCAGCAGTATGCGAAGGTGCTTGCGCGGGAGGGGATGCAGTCCGTCCGCGTCGGCGGGAAGGGCGGCGTGAGCGCGCGCGGCGCGCTGCCGGACGCGGGGGGGAAGGGGAAGGGGAAGGGGAAGGAGAGAGAGGAGGGGGAGCGGGCACGGCTCGAACGGCGAATGGCGGCTGCGATGGCGGACGCGGACGAGGACGATGGAGAGGGACACGGGGGGAGTGACGACTCGGACGCCGACTCGGACGACGACTCGGACTCGGACGCGGAGGACGAGGCGGCGCGCGCGGCGGCGCGCATGCGGCAGGCGGCACGCGAGGCGGACGAGGCGCGCGCGGAGCGGCGGGAACGCAAGGCGTTCGAGCGCGGCAAGACGGGCACCGAGAAGGCGTTCCGGCCGGGGCGGCGGCCACTGTCTAAGCAAGCGCCAGAGGCGCGGACGGTACGCGCGCTCTCGCCGCCGAAGGTCGAACCGCGCGAGGGCCGGCTGCGCGACCTCAAGCGCGAGGCGTTTGGAAAGCGGCACGCGGGTCGCGCCGGCGGCCAGCCGCGCATGGGTGCGCGCATGGATGTGCTGCTCGAGAAGATCCGGCGCTCGAAGTCGTAGACTCGCTATGCATAATGGGTCTGAGGCTCTACTGTATCCTACTGAGTAAATGTAAATAGTCGTTGGCACCTAGCGCGCCCGCGCACTCGCACTCACAGCCTCGCCGGGCGGCACATTGACAAACGAGTAGCTCTCGGCACGCTCTCTACTCTCCTTGCTCGGGCTGGGAGAGCGGCTCGTCCGGTCCGGCACGCGACGCGGGCTCGCCGGCGGGCTGCGTGCAGTCGGGTCGGGCGTGCCCCGCCGGCTGGTCGGCGGTGTTGATACCTTGGGCCGGCGGCGGTACCAGCGCGCCCACCATGCACCCGCGAGGCGGGCCTCTTCGCGCGCGCGCTCCTCGCGCCGCCGCTCGAATGCCGCGCGGTACCTCTTGTATCCTTCCTCAAAGTGGGGGTCGACGCGAGACGAGAAGATAAGCTCGCCGCGCGGGTTGGAGGAGGGCGGGATCTGCGCCATCACCTGCTGCCCATGCGAGACGCGCCGGCCCTTAGGCCCCGCAGCTTTGGTGGGCGCCGCGCGCAGCGGCGCGGGCGAGGGCTTCAAACTTGCAGGGAGGGGCAGGTGCGACAGAAGGCTGTACCACGTTGTTGGGGGGCGGCGGACGTTCAAGTACATGTTCAGCGGACGGAGCGCTTTGTTGCTGTGTGTGATGTAGCTGTGCGCGTAGCGGATCTTGTCGTCGTGCATGCCTGAGGCGAAGAAGAGGGTGAGGGTTATGCCTACAACGGCGAGGGCGACTTGGAGCGCGCGCAAGGCGATTATGTTCTGCGGTCAGTGGAAGGGGGGATAACGATACTGGCGTGGATAGCAAAGCCTCCGGCCCTGTTAACTCACGTCTGGTCTCCGTGCTAGCAGGTGGTATGCGCAGAGAACGAGGACGGCGATGAAGCTCCACAAGAAGACTGGAGTTAGCTCCTTCTCTCAGTCCCCACCCACTCCCCAGCTCTCACTCACTCCGATATCGTCTCCGCCGCCGCCGCAGCATCTCAGCGTTCATCTTGAGCCGCTCCTCGAACAGCAGGAGGTCTCGGTACGTGCTCGTGTCCGCCGGAGGATGAAAAGGCGCGGCGCTTCCCGGCCGGCGTGGCATGGGGCTGGGTGGGCGGCCTGGGGGCGAAGGGGTGCGGCGCCTTCCGGCGGGCGCAGGCGCGAAGGAGGGTGAGGGGAGGCGGGCGGAGGATGGGGCGGGGGCGCGGGTGACGGGGTCGACGTCTGCGCGGGTAACGGGGTCCATCTGGCGGGTGACTGGCGAGTCGCGGCCGAGGGAGGCGCGCGCGCGTGTCACAGGGCCTTGGCCAGCGCTGAGGCTGGACGTTGATGCGCTCATGGCATGGAGAGGGTGATGATGATGTTGGTGTTGGTGTTGTTGATGATTTTGTGGTGAATGAATGGGTGTTGGAGAGATGTCGGGCGAGTAAGCGGTTGTGGGGGCGGGGGCGCGGATATAGGCCCCGGAAATAGGAGGCACTGCTTGGCGGCGATCCACCCCGCGTCCATGTCGAAAGCAATCGCACGGCTACCAACCGAGAACAATGCATGGATATGTACAGAGCTACAGGCAATGTCCGTCTGTTACCTCAGACCCCGCCGATGCTGACACCCTCCGATCGCTAGTCTTGGATCTGTACTTTGATGGCTCCCTGGGACGGGTCAGCTGCGACCTGGAAAGCGTCGACGGCGTCCTTGAGTGCGAAGCGGTGCGTCACGAGCGGCTTGACGTTGATGAGCCCACCGGAAATCAGCCGGATCGCCTTGGGATACTGGTTCGCGTAGCGGTACTGGAACTGAAGGTCGATCTCGTTGGCTGAGCAGTATCCGAAGGGGTACTGGGATGAGCTGCTCGCAAGGTTGGGAAGGGGATGGCACTCACACTCTGTTCTGACGGCCCGACGCCAATCACGAACACCTTGCCCCCAAACTGCACCGAGTAGATGGCAGCTCTAATTGAGCTTTCGACGCCGGTGCACTCGAGCGCGGCGCGTAGCGGCATCCCCGCCTCTGCTGTGATCCGCTTAGCCGCTTCCTCTGCGCTCTCGCCTTTGGCGATCAGAATCGTCTTGACGCCGGGAACGAGCGTGCGTGCGAATTCGAGGCGACTCTCAAACAGATCTGTGATGACGATGGGGCAGCAGCCAGCCGCGTCCGCCGCGAGGAGCGAGATGAGCCCGATGGGGCCAGCGCCACTGTTGTTAGCTGTTACGGCACAGAACGCACCAGATCACCACAGGATCGCCCAGCTTGACCCCTGCACGCTCCATTCCGGCGAGCACGACGGCGAGGGGTTCGCACAGACTTCCCTCCTCGTACGACATATTGGCGGGGAGCTTGTGCAGCCACGAGGCGGGGTGCGCGTGGAACCTTGTCAGCGTGCCGTGGTATGGAGGCGTGGAGAAGAAGACGACGTGGGGGCCTTATGTCAGCCCGAAGAGAGTTAGGCCGCGGGGCAATGAGAGAGAGAGATCGCTTTCGCCGTCTGGCCTCTGTCACTCACAAGCGTTGTACCGCCCGGTCCGACATGCATCGCAATCCGCGCGAGAGCAGGGCACGCCAGCCTCGATCGCCACCCGGTCGCCGACCTTGAGCGTGCTCACGCCCGGCCCAATCTCGACAACCTCGCCCGCGCTCTCATGCCCCGCCCCGCACTCGTCCGTCACGATCATTGTGGGGCCGATATGCCCGTGCTTCCAAAAATGCACGTCCGAGCTGGGGTCAGTTCTGCTGGGGCGGAATGAGATGGGGCATGTGACCTCGCCAGAACTTGCAACGAGCTCGCCACCCATCTGGCTCTCTGCCGACCTATGCCTTGCCCCCCACCACACTCACCCACAGATGCCCGTCGCGCGCACATGCACAACCACCTCGCCCTCGCGCGCCACCGGCCGCGGCTTCCGCACCATATGTACCTCGTGCGCGGGGTTGTACGCGCAGGCGAGGTTGGCGTGGGGGTCGCGCAGGCGCGGGTCGTCGGAAGCGAGGACCTTGAACTCGGCGGACTGGAGCACGGCCTGAGGGTCGTATGCGGACTCGTAGAATGTCGGCGCGGCGGGCATGCTTGAGGATCAGAGGAAAACTATGAGAGGGAGATTGAGAGAGAGGAAATGGGAGGGAGACATGGCATCATAAGGCATGCCATGGTCATATGTCCAACGATGGCCGGGTGTCTGGATGATGGCCGGTAATCGCCAGGATCGGATACGACGGATAATGCTCGGCCCGCCCGGGGCATCTTCATGCCGCCTAGTGTTTATGCCGTCGCATCCTGAGAGACGTTATGTGTCGCATAGAGAGTTCAGTGAGCACTGAGCAGCGTGTAGGAATTCAAACACCTCGCGGTCGAAGACAAGCATGTAAAAACGGCATTGATGCAGCGGTCTACCTGGACCAGGTCCGGAGTTCCGGATATATCGCGTGAAGCCGTGAAATACCGCCACCGAGTGCAGCGGGGACTTTACGCTCATAGAATACATGCTTCTTGTGCAGACATTCACCCGCTGTGCTTCCAATGGCTGTCCGAGAGGGACAGCCGAAGGCTGCCTGATAAGGAGGACTCCAGCCGGCTCTCTCGGTGAACGACCAGGAGCATTCACGGTACGATGAGAGGAAAGGGCTATGCGGTCAAGCAACCTCAAGTCTTGAGGGTATGCGTGGAGCTGTCGGGGCAGTCTCGCCGGCCAAGAGCTTGGTGATCGACCTCGCTGATATAGTATGCCGTACGTGGCTTGCAGCTGCTGTAAGTTCGTAATGCAACCGGGGCACTCTGCGCAGTATTGATCATCTCCACGACCGCCGCTCCATGGCAGGGCATGTAGGAGTATGGCTCGGGCAGGGGGCACAGCACGGTCAGCGGGCATGTGAACTTGAGTACTGCGAAATAGCGCAAGCCCACCTGTTCCATGAAAATGGGGCTTAAGCTGAGAGGAATGCTGAAGCCGTTGAGCGCACTCAATCGTTGGCAGCCTTGACAGGACGTTTTGGATCCGGTGAGTGGTCGTGCTTTACCGAGCGCGGAGCAGTTGGAGGCGAGAGAAAGCCGGCCGTGCGCTTGCGCACCTTGAACCCACGGGCAGCTTCAACTTGAATGGCCTATTGGAGGAAGCGCTGAGACCTTCCGGTTGGAGGAAAACACATAAATGGGAGTGGTGATAGATAAGGGTGCGGAGGCGGGGGTGAGCATAGGAAGACATATATGACGCTCTACGGGGTCCAGTTCACATTGAAGGGGAATAGGCACTATAGCAAGACCCGGCTGGCACAATCTTGCTAGTGCGATGGCTCTGTGACTCAATGGATCGCGATGGAGCTGCCGGATGCTTTTCCGTGCGGCGTCGGTTCGCAGCGGCACCATGGTTCGCCTGGGAGTCCTTCACGTTGGGCGGCGGCACGAGCGTACGACGAAGCTACTATGAACTGTCGTAGTACTCAAGTCGGAGTCCGTTGACTCCGGTAGAGTCGGCGCAGCAGGTCGAGCTCGCCTCGCCGCATGAGGCCCTCCCCCCGTTCCCGGCCGCGCTGCAGGAGCCCTTGCCCCCGTTCCCGGCCACCGCACGGGACGAGCAGTGGGCGGCACACGAGGCTGCAGTTTTGGCTACGCCGCTGCCGGCTGGTGAGAAGAGGAACTGATTGCACTGTACATGCTGGACGTATTGTGTGTTTTGCAGCGTGTCCTTGGGCGACCGCAGCACGTGGTGGAAAGGGCAAGACATGCATGTGAGACAAGGCGCGGAATGTGGCTGAATTGAAAGTGCCCGCTGGATTCAATCGCGGCCACATGGGGCGACGGGGCGGGCTGTGCAAACATGATCTTGACAGATGTACTGTACACGCATGCACGACTCATGGTTCTACATCGTGTAATACAAATTATGATACAACGGGTACATGTATGTCAAGTTACGGTGGTGTAAGGCGGCCAAAGCGGTGTATGCTACTCTGGGGGCGACCGGCGCCCTCTGCTTCCACGGAGCGGCTTGCGTGCCCCCTCGGGATCGCGCGTGCCAAACAGTGCTACTCTGTACACGTCCCAACTCCGCGCCTCCAAACCCTCCGCGCCCGACACCGCCCCGCCCCTACCCTCCAACGGCAGGCCGTACATCGGGAACATTGTCGCGCCCTGCGGCGCCTCCGGCAGGGCCGAGTATATCCTGGCGTCGACCAAGTCTTCCGGCGGAACAGCTTGGAGGAAGGGCAAGGTGTGGTGCCACACGCCGCGTCCATGCCGGCGGAGGACGTAGACCGTCTCGCCGACACACACGGAGCCGCAGAGGGCGGCGATGGGCCATGTGATGGCGAGGCTGATGCGCGTGGCGCCGCAGGGCACGCCGAGGCCCTCGCATTCCCACTCTTGGATGGTCAGGCCGGAGTAGAGGGGCACGATGGTGTACATGCCCGCGAGGACGAAGCCGGTCGCCGAGAGCAGGCCGGTGGGAAGGACGTCTTCGCGGACACGCCATCCGCCGCGGCGCGCGGCGAGGGCGCTGAGGTTAGTATTGGAAGGGAAAGGGGGAGGGGGAGGGACTCACAATGCGGAGAGGTAGGATAGAAGGACGACACCATACAGGATGTGCGCGACGAGCAGGGGCCGCCAGGTGTCTTTGATGGGGCCGAAGCGCCAGCTCATAAAATAGAGGGGGGCGAGGAGAGTCGCGTTCGCGGCAATCATGGTGGCTGTCAGGACCGCGACAAGAGCGAGCGTCGCGCGCTGTAGTGTTGTTGGACGGAGGCTGGGTGGGGGCCGTGGTGGGGAAGTGCGAGACGGACGTGAGGGAGGGGGAGAGTGGGAGGAGCGTGGGGGTGGTAGCTGCGGCGGTGGTGGTGCTGGTGGTGGTCCTGGCATGATGGAAGATGAGAACGGGAAGCGCGAAAGAGACCGAGAGAAAGAAGAGCGAGAAGGGGGAGAGCTACAGAGAGGAGAGCGACGGGGAGGAGAGTGATGTTGATGTTTATCGAGTGATGAGTCGATTGAGAGAGTGATTGAAAGCGAGAGAGTTGGCCGGCGGTGCAGTTCGCCCTGGCTGGCGTGGGGACGCGGGGCCGAAATCAGGAGTGTATCAGGGCCGTGTTCGGGCGTCGCATGCCTGATCTCGGAATGCACAGGTCTAATGCCACGGAATCGGAACGTTTAGTGCTGCCAGAGTGCTGCAGAGGTTCAAGTCGTGGAGACTGATGGCGAGACGGAGGAGGATGAGGATGTGGTGATCATTGCAAGAGTATGAGCTTTGTGCATCCTTGGCCCTTCTGAAACTGGCCCCTTCCCCTGCCCCTCCCTTCTCCTGGCCCTGATCGCCGCAGCTTCACCGCAGTCTCCAGCAGCACAACCATGCATCCACCTACCGCTTCATCCTCTACTCAATGCAATGCGGCGCCGAGTTCGTGCGCGCAGATGGAAGCGAGCAAGTATGAGGGCATACGCTAAACAGGAACAGAGTGAACCTCAGTTCTCAAAACTCCGTCGATTCCTCCCTCCTTTGGACCGTATATCCCGAGATCGACGGATCGACACTCGCAAAGCCCCGACGCACAGATTCTTTCATGTTCAGGGCTCCAACTCCATCTCTCTCCTGTGGCATCGGCCGACAGAGTCACAAAGGCCAAGAGCGGCGCGCGTGATGGAGTCGCATGCGCTGGTGCTTCCAAGCTATTGGAGGCTCTGGTGCAGATCCTCTCACTCCCCGTCTACCAACGGCCACAACATACATCCGCCCAGCATTACGATTATGTATAGTACTCCCTCCGCGCCTCACAACATGCCCTCGGCGAAGAGCGTGCGCTTGCGGTCCAGCTGCTCCATGCTGAGCTTGGGCCGCTCCTCGACGCCCGGCATCGCCGGCGGCCTAAGGCCTGTCTTGTATGGATTTTCGCGCCGCGGGGACGACGGGTACGACCGCGCGGACTTGTGGCTCGCATGCGACGACTCGGAGAGTGCGCGCGCATCTTCGTGCGGGGCCGCATACGCGTCCGAGTACGGGTTGGTGCGCTGCGACGGCGAGCGGGCGTTCTCCGAAGAAAAGGTGGTGCTCGGCGACGACGTGTACGGGTTTGTGCTGCGCTGCGAGGGGGTGCGGTACGGGTTGGCGTGCAGGCTGGGGTTGCTGCCCCCGCTCGTGGCGGAGATGGTGGAGCGGCCGAACGTCGCGCTCTGTGACGGTGTGGGCGAGAGCGAGCTCGTGCGCTGCCCGGGCGTGATGTATGCCGGGGCGAGGCCGAAGAGCGGCGTCGTCGCCAGCGTCGAGACGCTACCCGTGCTCGGCGACTTGGGGAACGTGGGGCCAAGAGCGCTCTCTGGGCGCGCGGGGGAGGGCGGGGCAGGAGTGTTGCGCGGATAGTCGTCGAGCGTCCTAAAAGCCGAGGAGGGCGAAGGGAGGGTCGCGCACGGCGCGGGCGCGTGCATCAGCGGCGCGACGTCGATGCTCCCCTCCTTGACTTGAAACGGCTCCGAGATGGACATATGGCTCTTGCGCTTCTTGTATTTCGGGCCGTCGCTGCCGAGGTCGGACGAGAGGGCGTGCAGGCTTTCGCCCCACCCGCCAGGGTGCTGCGATGCGTAGATCGCCTCAAAGAGAGCGCTAAGGAGGAGCAGAAGCGCAGCGAGGAGCAGCGCTGCGCCGCCGGCAAAGTGCACGGTGCAGCGGCGCGCGAGCCCCGCGCAATGCGCCAGGGAATAGAGGCGGTCTCGGGCGGGCGAGTATGAGAGGAAGAGAAGCACGCCGATGGCCGCAGCCCCACCGCCGAGCACCGCCAGGCAAAGCACGTCGGTGTGAGTTGCTACGAGCGCCGAGTAGGCGTTGCGGCGGCGCACGAGAGAGTGCGCGAGCGCGTATAGTGCTGTGGCACCGCACACGGCTTCGGCGGCAATGAGGAGCGCCCGCCAGCGGAATAGGGTGTGTTCTGGAGTCAGTGGCTTTGAGGCCGTGGGAACGCGGGAGCGTGACGGCTGCGTAGGCGGGGCGGGCAGGCGACATACCTGGCGACGGGGCGGATGCGAATGCCCTCTGCACGTGATACAGCATGTAGCCGTTACATCCTGCTGCTGCGAGGGCGACGAGGGAGGCTAGGGGGAGAAGCACGGAGTGTGCGGTTGTCGCCCTCATCTTTGCGGTATTCCGGTGGTGGTGGGAGGTAGGAGTGGGCGAAGGATGGGTGGTAGGCGTAGGCGTGGTGTTCGGACTTGGGAGAACTGGTAACGGCGGCTGACAAGAGATGACGCTGTCGTCCTAGTCGACGAGGATGGCCTGGTGCTGAGAAGATCGACGCGCGGCGTCGGGTCATGCACACACCGCGGTCAACGCGGGACTGAGTAGAGCGAGAAGAATGAGTAGTGGATGAGTGGGCGCATTGTTGTGCAGCCCCAGAGTGTATATGAATTGCGGCGTCGCGACGCCGAGACTCCCGGCTACCGTATGTGTTGCTTGGTGAGTGGTGGCGCCCTGAGGCACTGGATGAAGAACCGAGCTGCGTGCGGCCTATAGTGCTAATGAGTGAGTGCAGGAGCACTCAGCATGTGCATGTGAGCAGAGGTGAGTGGGAGTCTAAGGCTGAGGCAGTTGCCTGACGACGCGAGGGGGAGAGTAGAAGGGAGTAGTGGACAGAGGAAACAGAGAGACAAGGGCAAAGCTACGAAGCCGCGACCGCAGGAGCAGGCACGCGCCGGCCTGTTGCACCTCGTCCGCGTATCTGCGTGTCTGCTAGTCTCGAGCGTCTGAGGTGAGACCGAGAATCAAGGTCGCATGCCGCGGGACGCGTGCAAGCTTATTTCGCGCCGAATTTTAAGGCCAGGTGGTGTTTGCAACGGCATGGGGCAGGTTGCGACACGGCTGCTGCAACCTACTAACCCGCGCATTTGACTCGGGGCCTGACTGCGTGACGGAGTGGATGATGTACATGCATGTGGACGCTTCCGGGTCGCGCGGACGAGGGTATCAATGCTGGCGGATGCTGGATCGCTGCACGGCGATCCTGCGCTGTGCTGGCACACCATTGCCGCCTTCCGCCTTTCTCGGGATACAGGAGTACACATAGTCAAGCGCATTCACAACACAACAAGCAGCAGGAATCAGAACCACATCACTTGCTCGGTTATCACGACGGACATGCCAGACGATACACTTCTTGCGCAAAGGTGGGTAAGTCCTCAGTGCGCTGAGGACGAGCGTCGCTACTTTTCTCTCTAAGAGCTTGCAACTTCACGGCGTCCCCGCTTGTAGCGGTTCGCGGAACCGCGGCGCACGGTACGGCGGGCTCTGTGAGGTGGGGGTCATGAGCTGCCCCGAGTGCGAGGCGGGCGGCGACTCCCGACGCTGGCCGAAAGAAAACCTCGTCGAGGGCATGTCTGGCCCCGAATCCGCATGACTAGGCCGTCCGCGATCGCTCGACACGCTGTGTGTGGGATGTAAGCCCGAACTCGACGCCCACCCGCTCCCTAAAGCAGCGTAGGGCGCCGGCTCCCACACGCTGCCGTATGGCGACCACGCGGGGTCAGGCAGCAGCGACAATGGCCGCGATGGCGGATACTCGTGGAAGTCGGTTCTGGGCGAACGCGGTGAGCCGGGAAACTCGGCCATGACGGAGAAAACGTCAGTGCTAGCGCTGAGGATCGTGTCCTCATCCGCATCTCGCGCGTGCGTGGGTGGGATTTGAATCTGAAGGCGGGGGGTGTCGCGCGTCAAGCTGGTTGACTCGAGCGGGCGCCGCTTTTCGTCGAGTATGAGCTGGGGAATTGGGGTGGCGCGGTCGTGGCTCAATGCCGTGGTCTTCGAAAGCTTGGACTGAGCAGGGCTGATAGCTGAGCGCGGCACTGTGTGGCTGGGAGAGTGCCCTGCGGTGCTCTGAGAGGTTTGTGAGCGGGCGGGCGGCTCCGCTCGCGAGCGAGAGGGCGAGGGAGAGCCCGTGCGCGCATGGAAGCGCGGAAGGGAGGCGGCGTAGCGCGAGCGCGGAGGGCTGGACCGGCTGTGGCCATCCTCGAGCAAGTCGACGTGGAGGATGGGACGCACGGCCTCGGGCTCGGTGAAGGGATCCTCGAGGATGGTCGGCGACCTACTGGAAAGCATGACAGCCCTCGTGCGGGACGGGTGTTCGGTGAGACTCTGCAATGAGCGCGTCCATGCCTCGCGCCCAGGGTGGTTCACCGCCTTGTTGATGACGAGGTATGTCAGGATGGCGGAGAGAAGCACCGCGCAGATCCACAGCAGGGCGCCGGCCGCCACCACCAGGCTGTGGTAAGCTGTGTTTTTTGGCACATACGTGCAGTGGCTGTGCTGTGTCGATGGCTCCGAGCATGAGCCGAGGCCGAGCACGCCGCGTGCAGTGAATGCGACGGCGCACCCGTATCCGAAAACCGTGAGGACGGTGAGCACCGCGCAGTCGCTCGCGAGCCACAAAAGCGGCGCGTTGGGCTGCAGCTGGCGCACTACAAGACTGGTGTCAGCAGCGACAGGCACCGAGCGTTGTCTCACAACATGAGGAGGTACGCAAATGTCGCCAGACTGAAAGCAAACGCGGCGACGAGGAGGGATAGCGTCGGCGTGCCTGGTGTCAGCTGCGGCAGTTGCCACTCACTGCCAGGCGCGGAGGCGGCCTCGGCAACAGCCGTGCCCAGGAGAGTTGCGAGGACCGTTGCGATGAGTAAGAGCACGCCGTACGTCCATAGCTGGACACGCGTCGCGCTTGCCATGGTGGTAGCTTAGGAGCTCGGTCGGTAGAAGGAGCCCGATGGCAAATTCAGTGGAAACTGGGATGGATGGGGAGAGACGAAGCGCAATGTAGGTGCGAGGCGATGCTCAAGATACATTGAGAGGCGATGCATGTGTAAGACAATGGACTTTGGGTGCCGTGGGTACAGAGATCGTGAGCACGCAACAGGCGGGCTTGTTTCCATACGAACACCTCTCTGGCGGACCAGTCAGTCTGCCTTCCGATCCGAACGGGCCGTGTATGCATCGTGGAAAGCCAAATGAGCGTCTAGCCCAGTTGCCGCGCTAGCATATATGAGGTTGAGACGCGAGGTAATAACAACCTACGAAGCTGATGGAGCAGGCTGCCTGTTGCATGAATGACTTCCTGCCGTTTCAACTCTCGAATCGATTTGTTTCATCTCTCAAGGTCCGCCGTCCGGTCCGGGGGTTCGGAGGTGGTTCTTTGTTTCTCATCACCTTGCCAAACCGCTTGTTGTCAATCGTTCTCATTGCAGTTGCCGGTTCCATTCAGGCCCCTGCCGGCCAAGCCATCACTTACAGCCTCCATATCGCCCTACCTCCGGATTGCGCGGGGGTTTCTACATCCTGACAAGCATAATTACAACTTCGGATTGTAAATTTCAAGATCGACATCCACTCCGCCCTGTGGCTTGCCTCTGGTGGCGTCAACGTAATATATGAAGGTGGCGCTGGAGGCAAACGCTCGACAGTTTGACCGTGTGCATCTGGACCTTAGCTGGTTATGGCCATTGGTCGGTGAAATCCCAGGCCAGCCCCACCCACCGCTTGCACTGACAAGAGCAATTTCAGTTGCAGTTCAGTGAGGCTGAGGAAGAGCTTTATGTGCTACTCTCTCCCCAACCTCTTACCCTCTCTTCTAAAAGAGGGGTGAACACACCCACCACCCCTCCATCACAAGTGCGATGTATGCGCGCGACCGAAGCCGTCACACACTTCCCGTTTCTCTGCGCTCATCTGAAGCCTCTGCGCTCATCTGAGGGAGGGTGAACTGGCCAACAAATACAGGCATGGCGGAACAGAGGGAGCAAATCCATCGATCACGGTAACCTTTGGGGTGATACTGAGCTGCGTGAACGGTGGTGTCCTCTAGACATGCATACAGTAGAGGCACCAGCGACTCCCTCAAGTTTATTCGTGCAATGAGGCCTGTGCCGTGGCGCGTGGCGCTGCCGCTGATGTTTGCGCTGATGTCAGTCAAGTTTGCAGACACGAGTGTGACAAGCAGGAGGAGCCAGAGTCTGGGCCGGGCCCACCTGATCAAGCCACGATGGACGGGGCTCCCAAACGTAAACTCGTTAGTGATAAAAGCGATGATTTTCGAGGGTGCTCGAGGGGGTTGTCCGGCTGCAAACCCAAGCACACATTTCCGATACTCTTCTCGTCATCTCCGAACTACCCCCGCCCTGGGTGGACGCGTCGACGCGCCGAGAACAACACCACCCCTGAAGGTGGGCCTTCTGAAACGTCGACTCCCAATCCTATCACGTCAGCTGCCACCCTCGATATCGTCCATCAAGACTCTGCGCATGCTTGCAACAGTGGCAACTGTGCGGCTGTTGACGACCGTCGTGAGCGTGAAAAACAGCACCACGCATGTAGTCTCCTTATAACCGTTCATTCTTTCATCGAGCAGGCCTCATCTCTGTACCACCATGCGTCTCATCCCAACCGTCACTCTTTTCGTGGGCATTGCCGGCGTCGCTGCCGCCCCGGCCAAGTGCAAGCAGCCCCCCACTGGCACTTCTAATGCGACTGCCGCGGGCGGCAGCGCCAGTGCCAGCGCCAGTGCCATTGCAAGCACTGCCGCCATTCCCAGCGTCGCCACTGCTGCTGGCAGCGAGGTCACCGCTTCCCTTGACGCCAACGTTGCGCTCGCGAACTCATCCTCGAATGTGACGGCGCAGCTTCCGACCACGGGCGATGCCACCGCCCCCGTCCCCGTCCCGGCGCCAGAGGCCAGCGCCACGGCAGGAGCCAACACCACCGCCAACTCAACCTCAGAGGTGCCTACCTCTAATGCCAACACCGGTGGTTCCGGCTCTGGCCCGCTCTTCGACGTCTCCCAGTCCATTGTGGACCGCGGCAAGGTCCTCGCCTCCATGTCGGAGGCCGACATCTTCGCTGCCGTTGGCCAGCCCAACCTCGTCGGCGACTCGCAGTACCACCCCCTCCTGCGCGAGGCGCTCGCGAACACCACGCGTCTGTCAGTCATGCACGCGCAGCAGGTGCGCGACGTGATCGGTTGGAAAGTGCCCATCAGCACTGTCACCGACGCATCAGCCTCGGTTTACTCGGCCGGCGAGGTCGTGTTCCTCCACAGCATGATCGAGACCACGTCAGAGACGGTTGTCGCACACGAGCTCGCGCACGCCGTCTTCGACCACCAGGGCTTCCTCACCCCCACGGCAGACGCCGTGCAGAAGGCTGGGATGGACGAGGCGACGTACGGCGACGTGGCGTCGACGATTAACGAGGCGTTCGCGACCATCTGGGCCGAACGAGCGGCGATCTTCAAGCACCCGGACTGGTACAACAGCACGGTGTGGAACGAGAAGGTGCAGCACTCGACGGCGTCCGCGCTCGACTGGATTCTCGCCGGCGAAGACCAGACCACGCAGGCGTGGCACTCGAGCCTGGGGCTCAGCAAGGCGACTACCGACAAGAAGGCAGAGATCGTCAGCATGGCCGACGGCATCATCTTCCCTAAGCTTGCACAGCTCTACTCGCTGGACCAGCCGCGCGGCGAGGTCCCCGCCTACCTTGACGAGGAGTAGGCGGAGGGGATCGAGTCGTGGCGCGGCGCGGCGCTGGTCGCTGCCTGCGTTATTTGTAGCTTTATAGCCCAATATCAAAATGCTTTGGATGCATTACTCTGCAGGCACGTATAAATCAATGCGCTTTCTTAGTTGGACCCCCCCACATACGCCACCCAGACAAGTGACTGCCGATCATTTCAGTTGACTTGTTTTTGCTGCTCGTCACCACCCCATCCTGCATCCATCATGCCCGCAAAACACGACATCAACGTGAGCTTGCGAAGCAGCGTTTAACTGACGACAGAAAGTAGGGTCTGAGAGCTCTGACTTCCCAATCCTGTAAGCATATCTGGGGCGGCGCGAGCTGACAACAGTTGCGAAACATGTACGATCTCAGCCTTGATGATGACTAACGGCAGGTTTGGGTCCTAACCCCTACGTCCGAATGGTGAGTATCGCTGTATGAGTGCTTGAGTGTTCATGGCACATGCGCTGTGCTCGTCGTCCAGGTCTCGCTGCATGAGACACATCTGGACGCCGTTCCAACCAGCCATTGCCCTCTCATCTCCTCCACTCCGCTGCACCCCGCTTGCCCGCCGCGGCGCTCACACCAGACCCGCCAGGAGTTCGGGCAAGAGTGCAAAATCTGCAACCGCCCATTCACCGTGTTCAAATGGAACCCGGGAGACGGCGGGCGGTTCAAGAAGACGGAGATCTGCACGACATGCGCGAAGATCAAGGGAACATGCCAGACGTGTCTTCTTGACCTCGAGTACGGCCTGCCGGTGCAGGTGCGCGACGCGGCGCTGGGGCGCAAAAACGAGGCACCAAGCAGCGATATCAACAAGCGTGAGTATGACCTTCTGAGCGCCGCTCGTTCGCTCGCTCACGCCAGAATACTACATCCAAAACCTCGAGGCGCAGATGGCGAACTCGGACACAGGGATTGCGTTCGACGCGCAGCTCGCCAACGCCGCAGGCAAGGAGATGCTCAAAACTCTTGCCCGCAACGACCCCTACTACAAGCGCAACCGGCCGCACATCTGCTCCTTCTTCCAGAAGGGCGAGTGTAAGCGCGGCGACGCATGTCCCTTCCGGCACGAGGCGCCTGAGGCTGGCGCAGGCCCGGTGCGCGGGGGCAACGTCCAGCAGAGCATGCAGGACCGGTACTACGGGCGCAACGATCCTGCGGCGAAGAAGATTCTGGGCCAGGTCGCCGAGGCGCGCGGGCTCAAGCCGCCCGAGGACAAGTCGATTGTGAGTGGCCGCTGCGTCGCTGGCGAGGGCAGGAGCTGATGCCAGACGACGTTGCTGTTCCTCGGCGTGCCCCAGTGCGAAGAGAGCGACGTGCGCACCGCGCTGTCGGCTGCTGTGCCGTCTGTCGAGCCGTCCCAGATCCGTTCCATCTCCATCGTGGCGGCTAGCAGTGAGTATTTGCCCCAGGTTCCCCATGCAAGTCTCAGCTTACGCCAGACTCGGTCTTTGTGAACTTTGCTGATCGTGGGGCCGCGGAGCGCGCGGCCGAGGCGCTGTCGGCCCAGGGTGGAATCGAGGTGGACGGCAAACGCGCAAAGATCGCCTGGGGGCGGTCCCGCAAGAAGGCTGCTGCGTAGAGTGTAGAGTCATGTATTTGTATTCCTAGCACGGGGATAAGTGTGGCTGGGCATGTGCTAATAGCCGGCAGTCAGTTTGAGCTTAGGCAAGACGTCACGACTGCATCCAATAACTCTAGATCATGGCCGAGATACCTGCGAGTGGCATCCACACTGCAAAGACGGCAGGCCAGGCGACATTGCCCCAAGTCTCCCACTCGGCGCGGAGGTCGACGCCAGCCGCGGCCAGGAGCGCGGGGTTGAGCCCCGCGATCGCGAACTTGCCCGCTCGAGGCAGAGGTGCCAGGAATGTGATGGCGAGGCCGGCGAGGAGGAGTGCTTGTGGAAAATTGACCATGGCGAGGGTGGGCACGAGCGCGCCGTACCCGAGGTGCGCGAGGGCCGCGAGGCTGCGCCGAGCATCCCCCTTCGGCTTGGGCAGCATGGGGGCGAGAGCCGCGACGAGCGGCGATCCGAGAAGCCATCCGATGGCGCCAAACGCGAGTGGGACGAGGAGCCATGTCGCGCCCTCTAGTGGGGCGGGGCAGTCGAAGCCGCCGAGGGTCAGCGAGGCGCCGAGGAGGACTGCCGCAGGGAGGTAGTGCCCGACAGGGAGGAAGCGCTCTGGTCCGGGGAGGAGGTAGAAGAAAAAGGAAGCGTGCAGGCGCTCAAGCAGATTATTGGCTGAGCGGACGGTGCCCTCTACGATCTTGCCGAGCGAGTAGAAGCCGTGCGGGCCCTCGGCGGGGACGGCGTAGATCGTGACAGCGTCAATGCGGTGTTTGGCCAGGACGCCGTGCGCAGCACTCGGCCGGCCGAGCGCGGCAAACTTGAAGTGATCGACGAGGGTGGCGAGGCCGGTTGCGTACGTGTGGGGAGCGCGAGGGTCGCGCGCGTGTGGTGCAGCCTCGGTGCCGCCGAGCCAGCGGGAGACGTGGGCCGCGACATTGACGATGTCCTGGTTCGGAAGACGGCCGTTGACGCCCTCTGCGCGTTAGCAGGCTAATGAGGTATCATGCACCGTAATACAGCCCGATTGTGGAGTAGCTGTGGTATGGGTAGTCGATATTGAATGCTGTCCAGATGTTGGCACGGCCGGTGTACGACGAGATGAAGTCGTTCAAGCCCTCGATGTAGCCGTCCCCGACAACGAGGTAGATGTCAAACGCGTAGTGGCCGTGGGCTGCGTAAGCAGAGTGGTGCGGGTTACGCACCTTTGAAGAATGGGGCGAGGGCCAACAGTAAGCTTATGCCGCGGACGTTGGGCACGCCGTCGCGACTCAACCAGTTTGCGGACACGAGGATCGCCTCAGTCCCCTCGCTGCGGGGCGGCGTGACGAGCGCGTACACGCTATCCTCACTCCGGCCAGTTTCAACGCCACTCCGCTTGAACTGCTCCTCGAAGAAGTCGGCACGCGCAGCCCAGCTCGCGTTGCGGCTGGCCAGATGTTCCACGCCTTCCAGGTAGTGGTCGGCGGCGGCCACGTCGTCCCATCCCCACAACGGGCGAGCGCCGGAGGGCATGAGCGCGTGTTCGTCGATAAACGTCTTCTTCCACAGGAGGGGGTGGGGAATAGCCGCTATCCAGAGGAGGCCGAGGGCAAGGAGGGTCAGCCTAGCGTCAGTGAGGCGGATGACGAGACGTACCGGATCGCCGTGAGATGGCGCCAGAAAATGGCGATCGCACGCTGCTGCCGGCCCAGCTTGCGCGCGAGCTTGGCCTGTTCTGGCGTCGGTGTTATTGGCTCGGTCATGGTGGTCGAGGATGATGAATGTCGGCCATGCAGTCATCGACGACATCGAGCTCAACCTCCACTCCGAGGCCACGTGCATCTGCTTCCGCTCAGGCACTCATGAGCGCGTCGAAATCAGACGCGTCCCATCTCTTGATCTCTCCAGATATTGCCACTCACTCACTCTTGTCTCCGTCCTCCGCGCCATGACGGAATACATCGCCATCTTGCCAGATGGTGCGCCTTGTCTCTCGTTGTCGCTAATAGCAGCCGTCGATGCCTCAGCACACACATACCTCCGCCTCCCGCACCCGCGGACAGGTACGCCAATCCCTCTTCTCGCTGACATCAGGCGCCCCCCAACTCTACCTCCCCACACCAACATCCATCTGCGAAGTTTCCAAGGTCTCCGGCGCGCAAGGACGAACCTGGTTCATTGGCGACAGCGTGTCTCGTCAGTCAGTCTTTGTCTAGATCTGACCCCAGACGGCGCCATGCTCCTCCACCACCCGATCGACCCGCTCTTCCTCGCCATCCCGCTGGCGCTCAGCCTGATTCCTGTGCGGGTCTCCGTCGTCCCCCGGTGCTGACCTCAGACTGGCCGTACCGCCCCCTTCCAGCCCCTCGGCGACCTCCTCTCCTCCGTCGTCGCAAGTTCCGCATGGGATCTGAAACCCGCATTCGCACCCTCCGCCCCGCCGACCGCGGCGGATATCGCGCGCCTCGTCGAGATCAAGGCGTTCCGGAAGGCGTTCCGCGCATGTTGCGAGCGCAAGGGTGTGTGTGCGTGTTGTGTGAGCTGACGGCAGTGATTGAGGCTGCGGATGACAGTGGGGAAGGGGTGGACGAAGCAGAAGGAAGCAGGCCGAGATCTACAGCGTACTACCGCTCATCACGCGAGGTGATCCTCGAGCTTTTGAGGAGAAAGGTGGATCGCCTGGCGGATGAGGCAAACTTCAGCAAGTTCGACCACCTCGTGCGCGGGCTCGGCCGGGACGGTTTGCTTGAGACTGGGGCCGATCCCGTTCTCGTTCAAGGTATGGTCGAGGTGTATCAAGCTGACCGCAGCCGCACGGAACACCGCCGCCATCGAGCACATTGCGCAGTATCTGCCCCCATTACTCCTCCCAATGCTCATTGCATCCTATGAGTTCGTCCAGTTGACAATCGCGACACTGACATCAGCATGGCCGCGTACAACAGGTACCTCCAAGACCGCAGTGCCGCCGCCCGAGCAGCTGAGGCGCCCATCATTGTTGAGAAGAAGGAGAAGGAGAACAAGCGTAAACTTGCAAAGACCGAGAGTAGTCGCGGCGTCGAGGCACTCAAAAAGGTTAATACCAACGGCATGGCCAAAATGACGAGCTTCTTCAAGCCAAAGACCAAGTAGTAGAGCCAGTCATGTAGCCTGGCCTCGCCTGATGTATCCATATAATGTACTACACACCACCGTGCTGTTCTGTGCGATGCTGAGATGTTGCCAATCAGTGACGCGATGACTCGCGCCGGCGCAGAATAGTTGCTCCCAAGCTTGAGCCAGCCAAAGTCGAGCCGAGACTTGAGCCAATGAAGCCGCCCTGGCTTTCCACCGAGCCGATGCGCAGCCGGCGCGTCGGCGAGCGTGGCTGCGAGTCGCCGCTTGCCGGACCAGGTGGTGGGAACGCGAGCGGCCGCCCTGTCCAGCGAGTCTGTGGCGGTGTCGCACTGGCGGTGGATACAAACGAGGAGTTGCTGCTCCGCGGATACACGTCTTGTGCCGAGAAGACGACACTCTCCCGAATGCTTGCGCGGTTGCTTCTGTCGTGGTCTTCGTCTGTGTCGCTTGGTGCCTCACTAGCGGGCCCAGAGTGTGATGTGCTCAGCGGCGGAGTGGGGAGTTCGGAGGGTGGAAGATGATGAGGGGCAACGTGCGCGCTGAGAGAAGGAAAGCGAGATATGGCGGGCGAATTGGGGCGGTCTGAGAGCACTTCTGTATGTTAGCTGGCCAAAGCTGGCGGAAATCGCACTCACGCATGCGCATGGGGCTGACGATAGCGCGTAGCGTCGCCACCTCTTCGTGCACACGCAATGTCTCTGTCATGATGCGTCTGAGGTCAGCTTGATCTTTACGTTCAGTCCTACACCTCGTTGCGCCGCTCCGAGGCGTCTAGGCCCGCGGCAAGATGAATGAGCGCTGCGCGGAGCGCGGCACAGCCGTCGCCATATGCGGAGGGAGGAGGAAGGCGACCGAGTACCCAGTCGGTGTAGCTCAGTCTTGGTGGCGGGGAGAGGAATGATTGTGGAATGTGGAGCATCTGCTCAGAGAGCGTGTCTGACGTCGGCGCAGCTGATGTGGGTTGAGCCGGGAGAGGGGCGGAGAATGGTGGCGGAGGATCTAAGCGTGTGGCGCTGGTTGATGGCGAGGAATTAGGCGTCTCATCTAGGGTGGCAGATGGTGGCGTTGTTGGTGATGGTTCCTGCGCCGTTGGGGACAGGGGGAGGCCATCGACCTGGCCATCCCGAAGACTCCGAGGAACGATTTGGAACCGGCGGAGCGTCCAGAGTTGTGCGCGGAGGCCTTCGTTCTCTGCTCGCAGCTCCTCTTGTCGCCGTTCCAGGGTGGCAAAGCGTTCGTCGTTGGCAGTAAAGAACGATGAGAGCGCTTCGAAGGGACATGTCTTGAGATGACCCTCGAGTTCGTCACGGGGCATGATGGAGGGGCAGCCTCTTCCGCTCTGCGTGCAGGGTATCAACGCTTTTGTGCACACCCAGCGGTGGACGTGAGCTCTGGTGGTCACTGTCGGTCAGTGTTGCCTACAAGGCATCCGAAGCAGACGCACATTCCACTCCGCAGGCTGGGCAGCAGTCGCCCTTGTCAGACGTGGCTGTTTGCGAGGCGCATCCATGTGCGTCCTTGTCCTTGGCCTCGCGGAATGTTACAGTGACGCCACAGCCATCGCAATCCATGCGTCGGTGAAAGCATTCATAGGCACGGTGGTGAGGCAGTCGGTGCCGGGCCATCTGCAGGTTAGTATGTCAGACTCACGCGAACTGTAACTCCGCTGGCGGGTATCTCTCTCTCACCCAGGACCAGTACTGCTGGTGTGATAAGGAGGATCAGGACTCACTGACAACCCGCACTCTGTATCTCCACAGGTTACGACTGCTTGGCTGCAGGTGCGCAGGTGGGCGAGGAGGAGTCCACGCTCCATGACCTTTGAGCAGCCTGGTGCCTCACACCGCACCTTGAGTTCGTCAAGCATCAGCTGTACCAGGGGCTCGGTGTCGGCGAGAGACGAAAGCGTGAGGGCGCTGCGATCGATGGGACATGATGGAGAGTGTGCGAGGGCACGGGTGATGCAGTCGCGGCAGAATGTGTGTTTGCAGGAGGCTGTGGTGACTGGATTAACAAGAGCCGATTGGCAGATTGAGCAGACCTAGATCGCATGAGTATGGGTACGCAAGATGTAAGAGGTGCAAGATGGAGGAATGTGTGTGCAAGTGGTGGCGGCCATGGTGACGTTGATGGTGACGACGCCGATGGGTCTGTGAGTGATGCCATCGGCAAAATCTAGCCATCCGGCCGTCGTCGCCACTGGCGCCCATGACTTGGGCCTTGGTGCGGCCTGGCAGCATAGAGAGGTGAGGAGAGCTGCGAGAAGGCCGCGCGCGCATCTCGCAAGCCTCGGACTTTCGTCCCTCGCCCTTTTCGATTTCTCGATGACGCTTGTCGGCAGTCGATAGCGAGGACGGACACATGATCGCTCCCCCACTCTGGTGAGTCTTCGCCGCGTTCTGCTTCTCCGGCACCTCTCACCAGCGCCGTCTCTCGTTGGCAGTATCGGCGTAGCAAGGGGCGGCGTGTTCTTGATGCTGCGGCTGCCGCGCGTTGCTGGCTGAAACCCTCGGCCGACGCGCGCTGGCGCCCACGGGGAAATGCGGGGGAGCTTGAACTTACGAGGTTTGGGTCTACGTCTTCGACGTAGTTGTAGACGACCTCGTGCTGAGGCATGGCCATCATGGGAGGCGTGGGGAGAGGGAGAGTGACAGTGAGAAGTGAGAAGTGACGAGAGTAGATGATGAGAGTGGATGAGAGTTGCCAGGAAGGAAGGTGGGTGGGTGGCCATATGCAACATGGCATGCCGGGGTTGACAGGGTTTCCGTCTCCTCTCACTCTCTTTCTCTCTTTCTCTTTCTCTTCGAGCTCGCGAGTATGGGGCGCTGAGAACAGACCTCGCTCGTCGCTCATCCCTCTCTCTCCCTCATCACTTCCCCATCACCCATCCGCCCATCATTCTCTTGAGACTCACAGCGCTTGTCTCCCTCCTCCGTCCCAAGCCAAGTGGGGCCTAGACACGCTCGTCATCGCATCATAGTCTTGCGGGGATACACGCTGCGGCCGATCGAGGAGAGAGAAACTGCTGTGGAGCATGGAGGTCTGTGCGGAGTGCGTGTCCCAGCGCCGCCCGCCAGCAGCCAGCCCGTCCGTCCACGCTCATGCCGCTTGAGCCCTGTGGCGCAGCGGAAAGCGTTTGTTCGCGTGCATTCCTGCATTTCCTGCAACGCCCTCGTGTCATCCTCCAGCCCTTGAGCCTCCAGACCGTGGCGGCGGTTTGGGGCGTTGGAATGGCCGGTGGTCGCTGCGTCCAGAGGATCAGAGGTGCAGACCGGTGCAAGTGGATGAATGGCAGATGGAGAGATGCAGATCGCAGACGGCGTACGGAATAGGAGTTTGGGTGTAGGGCGGATCGCGGAACACGCTGCTCCGCCCTGCTTCCACTCATCAGCTCGCGATCACTTCTGTGCGTCGGCGGTGCCATGGACACACCCCACACAATCAATTAGCATGCCCCGGACATGCCGGACAGCCCGGGCAGCAGCTTTCCGTGCATTACCGAGGGGCAGCGGGCTACGAGAGGGTCTGCACATCCTCATCGGCGCGTGCGTGTGACTAACAACGACCTGACTCCTTGCCGTATGTGCGGAACTGGCTGCGCTCGGATGCTCCGCTCTGCTGCCCGCTCAACCGCCCCGCAACAAGTATGCTACAGCGACATCTATTCTAGCTCTACATCTAAGATTCTAAGCCTCTACGAGGCCCATCACAGCCTCGCCCGCCACGTCCTCGACAACGACAACGTCCTTGAACGTCACCCCTTCCTGCCAACACATGTCGAGCACAAGGGCGCGGAAGTGCGGCTGGCGCAAACATCCTCCACCACAGACGAGCACTGGCGCCTGTGCCCTGCTGCCCAACGCCACTCCGCGCATGCGGTACATCTGGTGGACGAGGTGCACGGCGCTCTTCGCGAACGGGGCAACGGCCAGCCGCACGGCCTTTTCCGCGAGAGGATCCTCGCGCGCAAGCAGCTCGAGGACGGGACGCGCGAGCGACGTCACACGGAGCTTGGCCGCGTTCGCGGCCTCGACTGCCGTCCCGCCCTCCAGCTCGTGCACCTTGCTCAACAGCTCGGGGGTGGACGCGATGCCGAAATGTCGGCGCACCGTCGCGGCCAGCTCGCCCTCCTTCTCGCCCGCATCATATGCGTCCACCACGACGCGGCAGGCCCACCGGCCCACGTCCCACGCGCTCCCGTCGTCGCCTAGAAGGTAGCCGTGCCCGCCCCGGCGCGCTGCTTGTGTCACGCGCCCCTCCTTGGCCTCCAAGGCGACGGCGACGCTGCCCGTGCCCGCGACGAGTGCGATGCCCCATGGCACGCCGAGGCGCAACAGCGCGCCGCCGAGGAGCAGCGCGTCATTGTGCACTACCGGCGCAAAGCCGAAGAATGGGGTGAGCGCCTCAGCCATGCGCGCCTGGTCCACCGGCGTGTCGCACCCCGATACCCCGAGCCAAGCGGATGCGAAGGTAATAGGGCAGAGCGACTCCACGGACGGAGATCCATTGGGTGCCGCAGAGCCTAGTGCGGTCGCGACCGCCTTGAGCACCGTCTCAACGATGATCTCGGTCGAGCGCTTGAGCCCGACCTCAGCCATATTGGAGGTCGGGCCGAGCGCGCGCGCAACGATGCCGCTCGCGTCCGCGAGCGCGACGTCCGTCTTCGTCCCGCCGCACTGTGTCTCAGCATGCATCTATGTGCTACGTACGTCTACGCAGGCGTGGAGGGCGGGTGCGGAGCCCGACACGGAAGGCGTGACGGCGTCCTTCTGGAATGCGACGGTGCACACCGTCTGGCCGGTCTTGCCGCCGAACGAAAACGACGGGTGGGGCACGCTCGAGTGGAACGTAAGGCCTGGTGTCAGCGTGCTCTCCCTCTCCCAGTTCTCCCAGCTCTCACCTAGCCCCGGCGCGCCGAAGCGCCGCTTGATCTCCTCCTCCGTGAAGTTGCAGCTTGTGATCAAGAAGAATCCGCCGGGCGTAACGAGCTTGGCGACCTGCTCGGGATACACGCGGCTGGGCAGCATCCCGCCCTTCTCGCGCACAGGCTCTTGCGAGAGCGCAAGCGCGTCAAATGTGCCCTTGTCCATGACGAGGTCCCACGTCTCGCCGATGTCGTCGCGCAGCAAATCGGCGACGCGCCACTCGCACGTCGCGGGGTTCTCGACGTCGTCGGGATCCAGCACGTCCTCGTCGCCAGCGGCAATCGCCGCTCGCCGCGCAGCCTCCACGCTCGCACCCAGCTTCACAGCCCCGTCGGAGTAGTCGAGCCCCGTGAGGTGGAAGGGCTGCGGGGGGCCGGGCCACGTAAGAAAGGAGAGGAGGAGCGTGCCGTTCCCCGAGCCGCACTCCATCACACGCAACGGGGTGGTTGAGCGCGGGAGGTGCGCGTGTGCCCACGCGCGCATCTTCGCCACCGCGTCCTCGCCGAACCTGATATCAGCACCAGGTGTCGGGTGTCGACGAGTGAGGACTCACCACACCTCGCCCTCGTCCCCGACATCGTCGAACACGCGGTTCTCCCGCTCGTACACCATGTCCCAGTGCTCCTTGGTCCCGAGCTTGCTGGGCGGAAGCTCTTCGATATCGTCGGCCATGGTGGGGACTGTTGTGGAGGTTGACATGAGACAGCGGAGATAAGCGACCTTCATTGAGTGTCCGGTGAAATTTCCAGCGCATTAATTGGAGGATGTTCCGGGTAAGCCGGCTACGCGGGCGAGTCGAACATCTGACCGCGAGGTTGTCTTCGGTTCGTTCCAGGCGAACTGGCTCAAACCTGGTCGCATGAGGCAGATCGAAAACTCGCTGCCGTGGCTTGGCACCACCGAGGCGCCTCCGTTCCACTGCTGGAAAGTCAGTCGGCATTGCATCCAATGGCGTTGCAACGACTTCACGGCGGACGTATTAGTGAGCCCAAGTTCCGCTCACAATTCCTACCCATGTCATCCCTTAGCATCAAAAACTACTGACTACGTTAACATGCTACAGACTTAGAAAAGGGCAGCGGCGCCGGCAGCGACGACAACGGCAAGGGCTGGGGCAGCAACGGCCATGGCGCCCGAGCTGGACGACGAGGCGGCGCCGGCAGCGGCGGCGGTCGAGGGAGGGGGCTGCGCCGAGTGGGGGTTGGCGCTAGCGGTGGGCCAAGGCGCGGTCTGGACGGACGCGATCGCGGCGTCGGCCTGGGCGTTGAAGTCACCCTTCATGCCCTGGATGCTGCCGGTCAGCGAGTGTCCAACTCGGCATCTGCGGTTCTCATGAACAAACAATACTCACAAGAAGCGTGCGGAGAAGTCCTCGAACACCTTGCCCTCGTACTGGTTCCCGGCGGTGTACTTGAAGAGGTAGTACTGGCCGTCCTCGCCGAGGCTGGGGTCGGGGGTGAAGGTGGTCTTGTTCTGGGTCATGTCGTAGTCCTCGACGACCTTCTGGATGCACACGTGCTGCTCCTTGGTGCCGACGCAGAGGTCGATGTCCGTGGGGCCCATCTCGGCGAGGGTGGGCTTCTGGCCGTCGTCGATCCACTTGAGCTCGAACGGCTGGCCGGCGATGGCGACCGTCGAGTTGGCCGGGCGGGCCGCGAAGACGGCAGCCGACGCAGGGGCAGCGAGGAGCAGGAGCGAGGCGAACATGTTTTTGTGAGGTGGGGGATGGGCTGGAAGAGAAGGCAGAGTTCTTCCGGCACAAGAGGCATTTTATGTCGATCTTGGTGCAAGGCACTGGCGCTCGAAGCTTGCACACACACCAAGACGCTCCTCTTCTCGTAGGCCGCTCCTCCGAGCGCCCTTGCGTCCCCCGCTCCGTCTTCCCACTCCGGAACGTTGCGGCCTGCCCTGCCCACTGCTCTTGGCATGGCGGAAGAGGCGGCCGGCGGTGGTGCCTGGGGTCATGTCGGCCGATATAATGAAATCCCTTATCAGATTAACTCGCCGTGGAGAAATCGCCGAAGCCATCGGGCCCGATTCCACCCACATCCGTCCAATCCTCCATCCAATGTTACAGATTAGCCACGCAAGTATGCTTCGCGCCCTCCGTATTCTGCCTTGCTTCCTTGAGCCTGGCATACTAGCACCAAGTGTGCTCTAGCTCAGGCCCTGGATCATGCTTGATTAGCTGGGCCTCGGATCACCCGCGCCAGAACAGGACAAGACAAATGGGCGGCGCTCGATACGGCGTCCACCCGTGAGGCTCGCCAAGTCTGTGTCGGCCGGAGATGCCACGCAGGGCTTGGCCGGAGCGCACCTGCTATGCGTATGGCGCCTGGCAAGCCACGCGATTCGTGTTAGTCCCACGGCCGCCGGCACTGAATATTCTGGAGCGCGTCATCTTCGGCTTTTGACGTTGTTGTGGCATGCAAGTGAGAAATGGGCGCCAGGCGGTTTTAGGCAGCATGTCAGGGGCGAGCCATGTTATGATAGCTTCTGAGGCAAGAATTGGAGAGAATAGTTCCGTTCGACTACAGTATCGGTTCGCAATGTTGACAAGGTCTGTGACGTGGGCAACAAGACGAGGACGAGGGCCTGTGGAGGTCGGGGACCTGAATGGCTCTGCTCTTGGGCTCGACAGAGTCCGCGGAGACCTCACGAGGTGACACACCAAGTGAGCCGAGTCGTCATAGCCGCGCATCGTGTAGAGCCGCTTCGTTGCTGACACCAATGCACACACTGCGAACTCGTGTGCGACTGAATTACACTGCACTGACTTGAGACTGAAACCTTGGAAACATACATTGCACTCGTCCAGATGAATCAGATCGCCATCTCCGTCCTCCAAAGATCGCCTCGAAGTTACGCAGGTGACAACCGCCAATTCTCGTACTCCCACCACGAGTAGTCTGACCACTTCCTCCGTGACGGAGCCGGAATCCGCCCGACTTTGCGTGCCGTGAACTCGGTCAAGCCCAGATCAGGGAGGTTGGCCACCCCCTTAAAGGTGGTATACGTGGCTGAGGGGCACAAGATCCAGCCGAGGCGCGGAACGGACGTGATCTCCCCCGTGGCCGTGTGGCGCGAGCGCAGGAGAAGGTAGTACTTCTCCGGATTGGGCTCGACGTCTGTTGTAGCCTCCGTGTGGGTTGGGCTCGCGGTCCCCGAGGGTTGCTGGGAATTGGGGTCACCCTTACAGACTACGCGCTCGAGGTATGCCGTCAGCTCGTCATCGTCGTCGCCACCATTGAGGCCGCGGCCGACGTCATTGTCGGCGTCGTCGGCATCATCATCGTCGTCGTCGCCATAATTGTACTGATGATACTCCTCATCATCGTACTCCTCATCGTACTCCTCATTGTACTCTTCATCATCGTACGCCTCTTCATCGTCCTCATGCTCATTGTCACCAACGTCCTCGTCGTCGTCCTCCTGGATTTCACACAGCCTATAGCCATCGACGTTGAGCAGCATGACGCCCGTGAGCATGCCAAAGTCGAAGTCAGCCTGGTAGAGCCCACGCTCCTCCGTCGTACTGATGGACATGGTCATGTGTCCTGCACCGCGCCACACATCCGTGATCGCCGGGCATTCCACAACGTACTTGCCCACCACAGCCGCAGGGGTGCGGGCGGCCGCCGCCGCTAGCCTCGCAACTCGCCGCAACCGCACACGTGCAGCAGCAGCCATGGCTGCGTCCTCATTTGCAGTGTGGTCCTTCGCCGCCTGGTCTACGGCAACCATGTCCCAGCCCACGAAAACCTTGGGCTTCCTGCCCTGCCCCGTGGCGTGGTGAAGCCCCGGCACGGCCGCCGCAGCGGCGCACAGCGGGGGGATGCAGTCCCTATCGCGCCGGCCAAACGGGAACGCGACGACATGAGTTGTTGACCAATGCCGGCTCCCGTCCGGGTCGACGAAGAAGCGCATCGCCCACTGCGGATGCTTGGCGAGCGTCCTAGGAGACTGGGTGGCCAGCCATTCCTCGTGCATCTCCGCTTCGAGCGCCGCGATGTGTGCTGGAACGGCGTCGCACTACGCGTCAGCGGGTCAGGCTGGGGCTTACTTTGCCAAGTTTGAGGGCTGTCTTGAGGAGCTTCAGCTCGTGCTCCGCGGACTCGCCGGTGGATTCGCCGGCGTCGGTAATGCCGTAATGGTGCAGCTGGGCACGCACGAACGTGTGGTCGATGAACTTGAGCCAGTCCGCATCGTTTGGGAGCTCGGGGAGGAAAATCTCCCTCAGGCTCGCTGAGTCGAAGCGCGCGATCCCCCAGCAGGCTGTGAAGCGACCGTGGGAGCTCTGAAAGCCGTTGCGCGTAACCGTGCCATCCTTGATGATGGGGTACGACATCGTAGTGAGATGAAGAGATGAAGAGGAGATGGAAGAGGGTGAAGAGGAGGATGAAGAGAGAAGGGAAGAGAGATACTGATATGTAGAGGGAATGTATGTGAGACAAAGAAGACGAGAAAGCCTATGTTTGGGTTGCATGTTTGCGCAATTGGACTTACAGGTCACTACTGCAATTGAGTCGATCTCCATATGCACCTCATGTTTGGAGGTTGGGATCTCCGCCCTGGACTAAGTGATCATGGCGCAAACAACGGGCAATCGCAGCCACGGAGGCCAATTGTCATTGTGTACCTGCGAATGATTGAGCGTGTGTAAGCTGATGAGCCATAGGCTCTCAACGGATGAAGACACTGAATGCTGTGTTGTTCGTTGGTGATGAGCCTGGATCACATCAGTATGAGATGTAAACACGAGCTAGGGATCAGTGGTCAGAAAAACACGTTGATGGAATGTGGCTCAAAGCAGAGAATAGGGACGGAGATGGCTGAGATGCAAGCAGGGACGAAGAATTGGAATGTTTGTCTGTAAGCCAGCTGCTAGGGGTCTCAAAAGATCCAACAGGCGCACAAGGGTAGGCATTCATCAGCAATTCTGAAATCTGAAGTCTAAAATCAGCGTGTGCTGCACCGAACATGTGGTTTGTCCAGTGTTTCAGATCTTCTCAACGTCGCTCTATGCTGCATGGGAGCGCGTGGCTTTGTCGGCGTCTGCTGCGCCGGCAGGGGTAGTGTGTTAAGACCTCACTAGGCCGTGTACGCGCCTGTGTTGAGCCCGAGGCAGAGGCATGATAGACAGAGACGGCCGCCTACGCCACCTTCTATACCCCGGGTACTGCGGCGAGCTCCCCCTCAAGGTGCAGCGCGAACTCGGCCGCGTGGTGCTTCCGAGGCGGTCTCAAGTCGGCTGGTGCCTGAGGATGGCTTGGGTACTGACAAGGTCGTGAGCATGCGATTCTCCTCGATGTTGTTGCATGTGGGAGTGAATGATAATAAGACTAGCAGGTATTGGGGGGCCCTTCGGGCCCGCCGTTCTAAAACGCCGTCACGCCGAGTTGCGACGCGACACAAAGCATGCCAGGCCTGCATATCTTTTTCTGCGTCCATCCGTTCGCCCGTCCCGGCAGTTGCGGCCTCGCGCAATCTTCTCTGAAGTCCGCACCTCTTCGGAGACATTCGCTCAACTTGCCGTCCGCTCATACGTCCGCCCTTCCTTCTCTTTGCATCCAATCCCCAATCCCAGAGTTGCCGCTGCCCACACCAGGCGTTTGGCGCTTCTCCTTGCCCCCAACCCGGCGCTTCTCTTCCCCCTCTACCCATCTGCCAGGCCCTGCACCTGCCCCCAAAGACGGTTGCGATCTAGCGCAGCTACTTGCCCACGATGCCTGTTCGCAAGGACAACCTTGTCTATCCATGGGAGCTCATGGCTGAGCATGCCCCTGCAGACTCGTCCAAGCTGGATGGCTACCGTGTCATTCCCATGTGCAAGAACTGGGTGCTCCCAATGCCCCCTGGCATGGCAGAGTCTGGTGCTCCACCCAAAGCAGCCATCTTGCTCCGCTCAGGACCCACAGATGCTGTCACGGCCCGGACCCGAGATCTAGCTTAAGTAGAACTGCTATTAGGACTATCAGCCTTAATATTGTACCTTTTAATGATACGGTCTAAAGCGTTCAAGTCTGTTCCTCACAGCCTTTCCGAACAGTGCAGGGCCTGACATTGAGCACAAAGGTGTCCGCACACCGGATGACGCTCCACCACCCCAATGACTCAAAGTCGACAACTGTGATAGGCGTGCAATAAGACTATGATACAGATACTATGAGGGGGTGAGAATACAACAAATATCAAGAGTTGGGGGAAAAGATCCTAGACGTCGCCGTATATGTGACGATGTGATGTGAGCGGTGCCGACATGGCGGAGTACGCCAAAGAACTCAGCCAGGATGAGCCCCCTCCATATTTCTACACTCTGTGACCTGGGCGTCGTGGTTGTTATGGTCGCTCCTGGCACTATGAACAGCCTGCTTAACCAAGCTAGGTATTCCACCCGGTATCGGATTGAGCGCCATTGCACGGCGAGATCGACAGTGCGGCCCTGCTTACAAAACAGCGCCATGGACTGAGAACCCACTTGCCATAATATCGAACCGGCACCGAGGCAGCCCTCAAAGGTCCCAAGAATCGGCGCGAGGAAAGTCAATGAGGCACTGTGCGATGTTGTAGAGTCACCGCGTTGTAGTCCCTTGTAGATGGAGACATGGACGTCTTCTTTTGCGTTAAGGTCCCCTCTGCTTGACTTTCTCCGAGATCCGAACGGCAGCAGAAAGGGCTGGGTGGGGCGTTCAAGGCGGTGACTGTCGTCGTCTTTGGCTGGTGATCTAAGGGCCGGCAAGGATGTCCGTCATATCGAAAGCAGGTCTTGTAGCGGGTAAAACACACTCTTGCCCTCCGGCCCCCCCCCCCTTGAATTTGCCTTGCGTCACCTATTGCATATGCCTATCTAGAGCTCGACGCTCTCGTCTCCTCATTGCTCTCACTTTAGCCCGCTCACAGACCATCTGGCACTTATCTACGCCCCATGTCACCCGGAGCCGCAATCCTCAGCCATGCCGCCCATGCGTACATACCTCTTCTGAACGAGGTCAGAAGGGACCCTACGAGGTTTTGGTTTCTCCACCTTCTCCTATCCCAGCCCCATCAGGTATTCTGAACCCCAAACACTGAGTGTCACAGCATCACAGACAAAGGTTGTGCATCTACCCACGCTCACTCCTGCAGCAGCAATGTCCCTAGCTCCTGCTTGTGACCCAGACAGCCGGACGAGTGATGGCGACGACAATGGGTGGATTGAACAGCTGGACGGAGAACAAGGAACCGCGGCACCGCCACCCAGTGATGCCGGAATTGGCGGTGGCACCGGCACGGTGGGGAATAAAGGCAAGAGGTGTGAGCCGATGTGGCGCTGTGACTATATATTCTGACGTTTGTCTCACCATCCTCGGCCGTCACAACACACTGCATCCGCAGTTCCCACCTCGCCCTGTTCTCTCAGACCCTCACGATCGCGCCACATCCCGACTCTAGCAGCTAACATTTCGCTTATTCTTTATCAATCCGTTCACAGCTAGATCTCCACGTCTCTATCTGCCAATAGCAAGTGCAACCCTCGTTTGAGCTGACAGCAGTGTCCGGTGACGATCAGTCACAGAACGTCTTTAGCGGGTCAAGAGTAGCCTACTTTCTAGAGAGTTTCAGCTGCTTCTCATACTTCCCCCCTCCTCCGCCTCCTCCTTTCCCTTTCCGCAATGACTACCAGAAGCCCATCGTAGTTCCACGTGAGTGTGAACAGATGATTGACAGAATACTCTGCTAATCTCAGCCAAGCGCGAGCGCATCATCGGCCCGCAGCCGCTTCTCAGCGGCTGTTTGCACCACTCAGAACGACGCAGGCAGACGGCGAGGATCAAGGCCGAGCTGGAGCGGTGCCGGCGGACGGTGCAAGACGCGAGCCCGGCCCACCTGCACACGGCGTACACATCGTTCTGTGCGCGGCTGGACGACCCGTACCTCCCAAACGTGCGCCAACGGTATCTGCGCGAGTCGGTGGACTATCTCTGCTTCGCCATGGAGCACACCCAAAATGCTCTCGACGAGCTGCAGCTCTGCGTCTCCGACCGGCGGGTGTACGAAGAGGCGCACCTGCTCCCGATCTTTGCGGCGGTCGCCTCCTTCCGTGCGGGCGACACAGACCCCATCGAAGTCCCCTACCCGCTCCCGCTCGAGCGCAACCTCCTGCCCCCCCTCGTGCCGAGGTACGACGAGTTACGTGTGTCCGGAGCGACGCACCGCGACGAACCGCTATTTGTCTGGTTCGGGAACGGGCCCGTAGTCACCGCCAACACCATCCGGCACGAGTTCGCGACCATGGAGCTCGATAACGACGACATGTACACCGTCCTCGACGAGATCATCCAGACGAGGAAGCGGGTCATGGGGTCGTTACGTGTCCGGCTTGTTGAAGACCTGCAATCGCTCGACGAGGAAATCCGCCACCTCCCCGCGCGAGACGAGATGCGCGACGCACTCGAGGAGATGATCGAGATCATCCGCGACCGCCTCGTGGCGCTCGCGGCCGCCGCGCCGGCTCCGAGTTCTGGGGCGTAGTTCTGAATGAACAGCGGGCGGAATGTGTCAGTGATAAGAGTCATTGAAAGAATGAAATGATTGAGGGCATGAGAGACAATTAGGATGCAAGAAGTGACGGGAGCTATCAGGGTTGGTGGCGCGTGGATTGGATGTCGGTCAGGCCAGTCGCGCATCTGCGCGCGCAATACGATCGCTTCATCCACCCCTGGCGCGCGCATCTCGGTGATCATACGCTCCGAGATACAGGGGGACTCACTGGGAATTATCTCGAAAGGATGGCATGCATAGCATGCCTGTAGGAACACGCGCGCAAGCGGTTTGATTTTGGCGCCCTCATCCGCTCCGCCAGGCTGCGAAGCACTCGTCCTCTTTTTTCCTCTTCACTGAATTGACTGACGCGTAACATATCCCCTTCTTCTGCGACTCAAAGCTCATCAACGCGCGGCGTGATTTCTCCCGATCCTCTTTCTACATCTGGCATCTCGCATCTCGCAGTCGAGCCAGCCGGACTGGACGCCAAGCCTGTCACACAGATCCCCAAAGATCCCGCGGGCACACGTCCAGGCCTACTACCGCGTGATCGCGCGTGACGTGTACCTGCGCCCCGGAGGGGCGCATCGGTGCGAGCTGAGAAGACACACAGATGCGCTGGGAACGCCGACGTCCGCGTCTGCTGCCGAAGTGCCCCCGCCTCGCTGCCTTTCTCCTTGCGTCCTTTGTCGTCGTCGTCGTCGTCGTCCCCGTCCGTCTTCTCCTTTCGTTCTCCATTCTATCATCCTCTTCAGCGCCATCTCCGTATTCTCGTTTGCCTCCTTACGCGTCTCAATCTCTCTTACACACCGCACCCACTCGCAACCACCGCCGACATCGAGCAGGACGGAACCGCCCGAACGGAGTGATCGCGCTTCTCTCCCTCCACTCCCACCCTTGCCCTCGCCTACTCCCATTCCAGTCCACCTACCCCGTCCGCATACCCCGTCGACATTTTGTTTCGCGACGAGTAGGCCGCCGACCGGAGATAGACGACTTCGAAAAGGTAAGTGTGCAGCTTGTGGCGAGAGGCATAGTTGACGTCAGCTATCACCACTTCCTCCCAGCACTTGTCGTCACCATCCTCCCTCCGCACCTTCTCTTCCCCCTCCCAGCAACTGCAACGACTACCAGATCAAATCAGGCAAACCTGAGCAGCTGAGCAGTGGTTAGTGTGCGGCGGGTTGCACAGATTAACGTCAGCACCACCTACTCCCCCAGACCGCCTCTCGCATCTCCTCGCCTGACCTCCCTCTCTGCTCTCATCTTGCCATCCACCCAGACGCCGGCACAGCGACTGCAGCCTCTTGCGTACGACAGCAATTACAAAGGCAAGTGGACTGGCCAAAGGCATGCGCTAATATCAGCGCGCTTCCATATCTCTCATCTACGCACCTGTCCTCCCCACGCTCCGTCATCACCTCCCATCTTCTCTTCTACTGCCTCAGAGTCGGCTGTGGCGATGCGCGCCCACACAAAAGGGCTAGAAGCGCTAGTTACAGCTCTGTCACAACCTTCATTCGCTTCTCCATACTCCAGACCGCCCACGCCATCCGGCTCCCACTCTCAACTGCACCAACGTCTGCCGCGTCTACGCTCGCGCCTTCCCTCCACGTCCACCACCACTTCCAACGTTTTATCCAGTCCACAGCGCGATTTCAGGCAGTATGGAGGCCATGAGTGAGTGCAAGTTGTACAGCCCCCCATGGGAGGTGGTCAGGAGGGCGTGCGCTTGGACGAGGAACCACCCTGCCCGATTTACCTCATCCTCATTCACCGCCTTTCTTTCCATTCCCCCTTCCTTTCCTCTTGCCGCTCTGCATTCCATCTATCGGTGCCTTGTCCTTATCTGCAGCCAGGTATTTCTCCGGCGGAAAATTTCTGTACGAGCAAAAGCAGAGAGAGATCTCAAAGTACACGGCCATCGCCCTCCGCATCAAGAAATCCAGCACGTACGATGAGCTCAACTCTGCTGTTCTAAACAAGGCGCACGCCAACTTGATCACAATGATGAGGGCAATCATCTCAGACGAGAACCACAAGATCATAGAAATGGACGCTCAGCTGGCGAAAAACGCCGCGCAATGCAATGCCTTGGAATTCTCCATCGAGTTGACCCGCCAGCAGGTCTTCAACGCGGAGAGAACGTTCGAATCAATCACAATGCCCCTGTTTGCTGCCATCGCGGCCTTCTGCCCCAAGAGCCAACAGCGCACCAATCTTCCGTTTCCACTCCCTGTTTTCCACTCCCTGTTGTCGAAAACCAGCCATTGTCGACAACCGTCATCCACGTCTCAGCAACCGGACCGACGGCCGACGACATTACAGTCCATCATCCACATCCGTCCTCGCTGCATACCATTCTCAAACTCGCAGAAGACATGGAGGAGCTGACTGCTCACCTGCGAGCAAGTCTTGCCCAAATGCGATACCAGTATGGAGTGCAGAAAAGTCAGATCGCATTCTTAGTCGCAGCTCTCGCTGATCAGCACGAACAGCACACCGCGTCGCATGAGCTCGAGGCAATTCTCCAGGTGTGTGTCGACTTGGAGCGCGCCAAGCGGATCGAGCTCTCAACACGGGAGTAGACTCGGACGAGCAGGAGGATTCCTAAAGGCATTTGTAAATTAATGTATAACGGGTGAAGCGGCCGGAATCTGATTTTGTCAGCAAGGGCATTCTGCGCTCGAGAGCTGAAGGCTGCGGAGACGTGTGAGGGCGTCTAGATTCTATGGAAAACAGGTGATGCGCACAAGCGCTTGATCCCATCAAAAGACATCTGGATCTCTGGAGCATTTGTCAATTGTCAAATCGCTGGAAGCTGCGATATTACGAGATCACGGAACTGGCCTGGGTGAGCGGCTCAAGCCCGTCAGGAAAAGTCACGCGCACTGTCCACTGGATGACTGGGACTGGAAGCCCTGTTTAATCAATTTATCAATTCGTGAACCAGCTCTCGCCGCGGCGGGCATCCCACCACAGGCAAACATTTCGGCCGGTCGGCGGCCAACTGGAATCGCCGCCCTGAAGTCCACAACAGACATCTGAGTCAGACCGGGCGTTTACCTGCTACCTGAGGGATGGGGAACTACAAGCCATGATAGTCCCTACAGTGCCTGCAGGTTTCCATGACTGCAGTCCGGGGCCGTGGCCCACAGTGCGGAGAGCGGGTAACTCTGCGGCGAGTCGATAACAGTCTTGCTCCATCTCCTCCTCAGTTCCCCTCAGCTCCCCCGCACTCTCTCCTCAGCTCATTCTTCACCTTTCAGCCTGCACCTTCCAAGCTCGCGATCAGCACCTCTGCTCCGTTGTCATCGGGCAGTATGTCTGTACCACGCCATGTCCATGATTTCCCTCCCTAACAAATATTCTAGCCAATATCCTCGCCCCCGAGATCACAGAATCACACCAATCAATGCAGGGTTAGTCATACGTGACCGAGACAACATCGTCAGTCAATCCAAAACAGCCGTATCCCAGCCGTCACACTGTACGCGACAGCGGGCGGACGCCTCCGCATGCCGCAAGAGGATGGATGCCGCCGAACGCGATAGAAGAGCGGGGCCATGAGGAAGTGGTCAGCCTTCTCCAGGTTCCAGGGTTTTGGCCGCAATTGCCTCGGACACCAAAGTCAGGAGAGCGAGATAATCGAGTCACCGTGATTACAGGCAGCCAGATTGTTGAGTTGGTCAGTGATATGCCATTCATACTTCCCTGAGTGTCAATGCAACACTGCCGCCAGTCTTGGGTCTTGAGCACACCACCACCGCGCGACCATGCGGCCAGTGAGCAAGTCAGCGATATAAACGCGCTCACTCTGCTTCATCCATCTCCATCCTCCTTCCACACCAACTCACCTCACCGCCCGCCAAATCTCATCTCAGCATTTTTGCCACCCCGCCAGCCACTGCCTAAACCAACTCTACCTACCCCCAACAAATCATGCGCATCGTCCCCGCGTGTCCCCGCCCGGACCACATCAATCTCCGTGAGTCCCCTCCCAGCGATGCCGTCGACCGTGTCCATGCGGATCTCGGCGCGACACATCTGCACTTCTGACCACAGCCGCGCCCCCGATCTCGTGGGCCCAGATCCGCATGGACGCGGTCGACGGCATCGCGTTCTACGCGATGGTGCAAGCGCGCATCGCCGCGGGCGGCTTCCTTCTTGAAGACGCGGTCGAGTACCGCACGTTCCAAGCCGACTTGCGGCGCGCCGAGGCGCGCGCCCGCGTCGTCGAGGATGCGCTGGCGGAGGCGCGCGCGCAAGCGGAGCACGCGCGGCGCGTGTGGGCCCACGAGGACGAGTACTGTGTAGACGAGCCGCTGGACCTCGTCGCGTGCGCTGCGGCGCTTAACCACCTCCACGCGGAGCGGCGCGCGTGGACCATCGCGCGCGCGGCCGAGGCCGTGTACCAGCTCATTGAGGTGATGAAGGAGCTCGAGATTGCGTGAGGTGAGAAGAGTCAGAAGTTAGATAGATGCATATTGGTATATCTATCACGGAGGGGTATGGGCCTCGTAAAACGCCCACACGGGCGCTAGTGGATGCTGGTAAGGCATGAATTATCGATGGCCGCTGAGGCCTTCGGCAGTCACAACTCACGATCTCTCATAGCTTACAGCGTGCGGCAGAAGCGCACAGACTGAGCGGGTTGTGTAGCGTCAGGCTGTGTTTCCCAACCGCCGCACGCGCATTGCAAGCACAAACATTGCCTCTCGTCTCCCGCCTTCAGCTGGACTTGCCATTCATCCGTGTCTCAGATTTCCGCCCCATGGGCGTGCGGCCATCGGGCGCTGGCCCCGCCCGCTGGACGCTGACTCGAGGATCATCCATGATCATCACTACACGTGATGTGCACAAAGACTGCACAATAATCTCACTCGCCGAGTCCAACCAGTCTGCAGTCTGTTTGCTCAGCTATTCATTTGTCCCGTCCCAGATCCCATGCATGAAAACACCATTTCTGTTGCACTTGGCCTCAAACTACAGCGACCCTCCGCAAAACGTCCCATTTCTCTGCACCCAGCTCCCCACACGTAGTGCATATATATCGCATCGCTGAGGACATGCATTCTGTCCAGCCACACTTCGCTCAGCTCTCTACAATGCGCCGCTGGACCTCCAAGCTTGGTCAATTCCACAATCCCTTCGGTTCCACGGGCTCGCCCGGGCCTCTCCTCCCGCCCTCTTCTCTCAGCCCCGAGATCTCGGGGGAGACCTCCGGGGACACCTCGCAGCCCCCCTACGACGACACTTCCCAGTTTACCTCGGACAACAAGATCGAGCAGATCTCCGAGAAGGACGCCACCAAGGTCCCCACCACCAAGCCCCACGACTGCAGGCTTTACATTGATGCGTGGGACGAAATCCTCAGGCACGTCGACGTCGACGAACTCAAGGCTGTTCGCGCCGTCTGCCTGACCCTCTACGGCGCAGCCACCCCGCGCCTCCTCTCCCATGCGGTGATGTACGGATACAAGGAGAACATCGAGGCCGCTGCCTCCGGCGAGGACATTGTGTGGTGCGCACACGCCAGTATCCCTATCGCCCCACACCTGTGGCCTTATGTGAAGATCCTCGACATTGTGGGCAGTTGCGACTGTGATGCCACATGGACCATGCGAACCAAGTGCCTCTGTCTTCCCTCTCTCGGCGACCTCCTCGACGAGATCCTCCCGCACGACATCCATCTCGACACAATCCGCATCCACCTGCGCTGGTTCCGCCTCGGCCATGCCTTCATGACTGAGCGTGTGACCGCCAAGCAAACAATTTACATTGTCGACCTCTGCCCCCCACGCCCTTGCTACATCGTCCTCCCTATGACGCCAATTGCGGGCTCCACCCAAGTAACTATCAGCGTGCTGCACAACAACTCGCCCTGTCTCGCCTACACCGACTTCCTGCAGGAAGGCTACGACCCGGACGTCGACTACGACTTCCAGTTCACGTACGCGCCCACGCCCCGCCTGCCGGGGTGGTACGGGGTCGAGGCCTGCGGCGCGCGGATCTACACGAACCACGACGTGCCGAAGCGCTTCGCCGTCAACTTCCTCAGCCTCCTCGCGGCCTTCACCGTCCATTACCAGGGCACTGGCCGCTTCATGCTCGCGGCGGCAGACACGTGGCCGCGCCGGTGGTTCCTCAGCGACCAATGGAATCTGGGGCTTCTGGTGAGCCCGGAGGGGGGTATGTGGAGCCTGCTCGTCCCGTTTGTTATTGAAGCACTCTTCCCGCTCCGCCTCGCGGAGGCGATGGACGTCCCGCTCCACTCATACCCCGAGAGCACGCAGGAGGTGTTCTACGAGGCCGCGGCCGAGTACCTCAACATTGTCACAGAGCCGTTCCCTTTCGAGGAGCCGTGCTTGGCTGGATGTGCCGCCCTAGACTTTGTTGTGGACTGAGAGCTCACACTTTCTCAATCTCCTCTTTAGTTGTCGAATTCAAATGCATCACAGTTTCAGTTTGGCGTTTCGAGAGTGCATTCCCCGTTCCTGACTGTGATCAATTTAACCGCGACTGCTTTTGTCCCATCGCTGCGACATCATCTCCATCTCCACTCGCGACGCATCGTCTCACGCCAGAGCGACCTCGTCAAGCATGCATGCATCGCAGCAGTCGAGAAGCGCGAGCAGCCGCATGCCACGTGGGAGGAGCGCCAAGAGTGCCCCCCGATCCCCGAGCGTTCCATGAGTGCACGAGCCCTCCCGACCCCTGACGCCGACGCCTCGCCAACGCACCGCCGCACCCTCCACCGACATGTTCATCTTCTCCTCTTCACTCGCCATCATCGTCCTTCTCATCACCATCACAACCACGCTCCCCCACGGTGCCGTCCCTCGCCCACCGCTCCTACCCGCCCATGCTGGGGCGGGCCCCCGGCAGCCCCGCGCCCTCCGGCCCCTCGAGCCCTATATCTACCCCCTCCCTCTCCCCCGACTCGGCCACCATGCCTCTAGCGCCCTCCCCCCCTTTCCCCACCATCACCACTCCCACCTCGCCATCCTCCCGCCGCCGCCCCTCGGCAACGCTCTCGACGGACATGCCCTCTCCGGCCTCCACAGCGCCGTCGACACCGACCACCCGCCGCAGCTGGAAGCCCGTGATGCCCTCCATCCTCGGCAAGATGCGCACCTCGATGCGCCTCAGCGGCGCATGGAGCCCAGACACGCACCACGACCCGCAGCGCGAAGCGCGCGAAGACGACGACCGGCTGTTCGGTGCGTCCGTCCTTGTCAGCACTAACACCAGCGCGCCTGAGAGAAGGATACCCCTGCGAGGACGTGAAGCACATCCTCGCACTAACGGCCAAGCACCACCGGGAGCTGGACACGCAGATCGACTTCGTCGCCTCGTGGGCCGCCATGGTCGCCGAGTGGGTGGTACGTCGCCCCGAGACTCCGCGACCGCTGACGCCAGGGCACGATGACAGCGCATCTGCCCGCGCTGACGGCTGCGCAACGGCCGCGCGTGGTGCAGCTGCGCGCGCAAGCCGAGACGTATCTCTCGCTCGCGCACCTCTTAGCGCTCGAGCACGCGCAAACGGGCGGCCGGTTGCGCGTCGCCCACGCCCTCCTGCAGCATGCGCGCGTGTGGATCGATCTTGGGCGGGACCGGACACACCAGCGCTTCGAGGACTTTGAGCGCGGCTCGGAGGGCCGCGGGAGATGGGAGCGGCGGGGGAGCAGGCACGACGATGTCGCGGGGAACCTCGACGCGATCGCGACGTGTTTCAGCGAGCTGTCGAGTGCCGAGAGCCGCCTGCCCCACCTCCACAACAGACTCGCGGAGGCGGCCGAGCGCCTCCTCGAGGCGCAGGAGGATCTCGACGACATGGTCGCGTCTATCGAGGTCGCCAAGGGGCTGATTGAGGGGCTGGTGGATGGGTCGGCGTGGACAGGGGCAAGGGCGGGAGCCCCAGCCGCTTATCCCGCTCCGGGCGACGCGGAAAAACGCGACGCAGGAAGACGCGATATCCCACTCGGTAACTAAGAGTGCTGAGGAGCCGAGATCTGATCACGATGTCGCGGAAGGAGAGTACTTGTTGGAGCTTGTTGACTGCACTGCTAGAAGATCTATAGACGCATGTATGTTATCTGTATTGATTGGGGTGGGCGTCCACATACGGGGTCCACCCCTCACACATCGTGGCCACGAGCTCACCATCGCGGCCACTCCTCCCACCTGCACACATGCCGCCCAAGCGCACTGCATGCACACACGACGATGGCTGGAAGAGTCTATCTGTCGGACAAATCAGCCACACGCTGCATCTTAGAAGGCTCCGACACGGCCGCAGTCCTTCTCGGCAGAATGGGGTGCGCCCCCATCTGTATGGTTCTTGTTTTGCCACTGTCCCGCAATGTTGTCACCACCACCAGTCGATAACATAAGACAACAAGTTCGTCTACTCAACACCCACCCCCATCCACCTTCAATACGATGTCGCTCGCATCTCGCCGCCATGGCGCGCCCACCGCCCTCCTCATCCCAGCGGGGTCCGCCACGCTCCCCTGCCGCCGCCTGTCGTCAGCTTGCATCACACCCAACTTGAGCACGTACGGTCTGAGTCCCTCGTCGCTCTTTCCGCAGCCCACCACACCGGAAGAGACAGAAGAAGACGAGCCCGTTGAGAACCACGAAAAGCCCCACCCACGCATCCTCGTGGGCCGCGAACAAGACTGGGCCCATTTCTACGGCTCGTCACTCTGGAGCGTCCACCTCCTCGGTACGCGACGCGCCCACCACGCTGACGCCAGACCACGTCGAGCAGATCTTCCCCCTGCAGCCCTTGATCGCACTTACCCCGAAACACAAAGTCCTCAGAGGGTGGGAAGCGCACATCGGCGCATTCGACATCAGCCACCCCGCGCGCGCCACCGGCGCATGGCTGCTCCCGCACGCCGCGCACGCCTGGTGGGCGGAAGACTACGCGACGCAGCTCGACCGCGTGTTTCCGCGCGAAGACATCGTCTTCCTGCTGCACCGGGCCGAGGACATCCTCGCCTCCCTGAAGGCGGGGGAGGACGAGCTCGCGGCCCTCAAAGAAAGCCTGTACTGGCTAACCGTGAGTATGTGGTCCGCTTGCGCTAACACCAGGCCGAACGCACGCCCAGCGCGTGCTCGAGCGCGTCGTCGCGCTCCTCCCGGCTCACACGACCCCGCACCCCGCTCGACGCGTACACCCGGTCCGTGCTCCGCACGCACCGCAGCCGGATCAGCGAGCTCCGGCGCACCCTCAGCGCCGTGCACCGCCTGCCGGCGATCCTCGTCGTGATCCGCGCGCTGCTGCAGTATCTGCGTGCGCGCGCGCGCGCCGAGTGCGCCGCGATAGCGCGCCGCGAGCGCGCGCGCACGGACACGCCGCGCGACGCGGGAGTCGTCGAGCGCGTCGAGGCCATGGCGTGCTGGCACGTCGCGCCCGAGGTGCGGCTCGAGGCGTTGATGGCGCTCGCGGAGGAGTGGTTTGCGCGCGGGGAGCGGGGGATGCGGGATCTGGGGCGGTGGAGTGATTTGGTGGAGGGCCGGTTGCGGTGAATTTGACTACAGGTGTATTTTCAGTCTTGTTATAGTACATTGCATCCTCGTGAGAAGTGTCAGGAGCGCTGCGAGACGTGAGTCAAGTACAGGTAGAGGGTCGGGTGGTTGTCCAATTAGGCGAGATAAGCGAGGGTGGCATCCAGATCAGTGGCGGGGGCGTGGCACATTCATGCCGCGCCGACCCTGACGGAATAATGCACCACCTGGAAATTTCGTCTGTCCCGCCACTCGCCACGCAGCCACAACACCCGACGATGCATACCACGAGATTTCTTCGCACCGTGGCTGCATCACAAGCACGTCCTTGCACAGCGCATCACCCATTTCGTTCGCCCAGCAACGACAGCATCGTCTCGCACCCACCGCTTCTCGCAGCATCGTCATATATAGCATGTAGCACATCCGTCCTATCTAACAGCGCCTTCAGTCCAGAGCCCACCATGACCTCCGCCACCCCCTCTCGCAACGGTGCGTACCCTCTCCTCCACGCTCACACCAGACCTCCCCTCCGCAGACAGGTGGGCGCTGCGCGCCCTCCTCGCCTCGGTCCCCGCCCCCCTCCCCGCCGTGTCCCCCGCCCTCGCCCCCGCTGCGCCCTACTCCCTCTCTCCTTGCCCCTCCCCCTCTCCC